CGGTGTCCTGGCCAGCAATCCCCCAAATAAAATTGGTCACTCACTCCATGGCTGTTTGAGGGACACTCGTTTTGCTCACAAAATACACAGTCACTGCACTTTACAGTATATCCCTTGAAGCGCTTTGAGACGTCTCAACGGCGTGATTAGGCGCTCTATCAAATGCAAGGATTATCATTATGATGATTGCTGGTTTTGATCTTGTCTCTGCAGGGATGGTCACGGCTGAGGTCTTTCAGAACATGCACAACCCTGACATCAGGAGAAGAATGACCGAAGAATTTGATGAGGTGAAATTAAGAATTTGTTTTGAGATCGATATTAAAAATAAAACACTTTGCATTTTCTTTACCCCTCCTCCCTCCTCCCTCCTCCACGTCTAATCTTGTCTCGCTCTCATTCTGAAACCTGAATAATAAGCAGCAATTTTCACAGCCGGCTGGAAGGATGATCAGTGTTAAATGTATATCCTGTGAAGTGCTTTGAGACGTCTCAACGACGTGATAAGGTGCTATATCAAATGCAAGGATTATTATTGTGTGTACATGTGTGTCGGGCTGGTTGCTGAGGCTTTTGCTATTGCTTGTGGGGACAATAATAATCCTTGCATTTGGTGTAGCGAACCTGCCCAGATAGCTGCGTGAAGTGTTTTGAGGTGTTCCTCCGAGATGAATAACACTGAACAAATGTCAACTGTTGCTCTTTTACAGGATGCGGGTTTACAATACAAGAAGTTCATGGTCTACCCCTGGATCCTGACTGTTACCTGGCCTCTGGAACTGGTAACAGCTCTGTCACCATCCTTTCCCAACAAACGCACGCACACGCATACGCTTTACAACAGCCCTGGTCTGTGGTTGCCAATACTCTACATTCTGACACAGGGTCGAGCATAGATACCCCTTACCATGTGCTGCTACACTGACAGGAGACTGTGGGGCAAGACTCCAAATACGCCACAGAGCTCAGTCGAGAGCTTGGACTGTGCAAGGGTACGAATGGCATCTCTCCAGGTTCTATAGCCCAGGGGTTAGTTTGAGTCCAGTTGGCTGAATGGGCTCTTTCCACCTCTTCCTCTATGTTCCTGTGATTGAAGGGATAAATATAGGCTGCAGACTTCCCACAGGAGCAGGAATAGCAAGCGGGTTCTTAAATCTGAAGCACAAAGTCTGTGTTGTTTTGTGTGTTTCAGGACAGCGGGAATTACCCGCTGACAATGCCAGGGCCCTACTGGAAGAAGTTCAGGTGTAATTTCTGTGAGTTCCTCTGGGTGTTTATCCGTCGATGTGAGTACAGCCTTGTCTATGACGAGTACCTGATGGACACGGTGGTCTCCCTGCTGACCGGTCTCTCGGACTCCCAGGTCCGTGCTTTCCGACACACCAGTACGCTCGCAGGTGGGAATTTTACAGACATGCGGGAATTCCGGGGCTACAGGAACAATAACAACTTGCATTTATATAATAATAATAATAATCCTTGCATTACCCTCTGGTATCTGCCCTGAAATTGCCCCTCGCAACGACAAACCTCCTGCTCTTCTCATTGTCGTTGGCAGCCATGAAGCTGATGACAGCCTTGATCAACGTGTCTCTGAATGTTAGAGTCCAGCTGGACAACACTCGACGGCAATGGGAGGCCGAGAGAAACAAGGTGACGGGCAACAGGACCAACCAGAGACTGGAGGCACTTTTACACAAGAAAGAGGAGGTAGGCTAGTAAACATAATAAGAATGTGGGGTCCTGTAGCGAAGTGGTTAGCACGCTCGCCTCGCAAGCGAGAGGAGCTGGGTCTGATTCTCGTGGGGACGAAATCTCAGGCAATTTCCTTACCCCACACACCTCCGTTTACCTAACAATAAGTAGGAACCTGGTTGTTAGTTGATTGGCGGGTTGCTTTCCGGGGGTAATAATCCCTTAAAAAAGAAGTAAGAATTTGGTCAGTCAATCCACGACTGTTTGCGCTGATAATACTCTCTGGAATTAGGTAAACAGGATGTGTCCCTCCAGGGAGAGAGAGCGCATTCCATTCCAATAACCTATCTCTGGGATTTCCATGTGTGGGTGGGATGTGTGGAATTCTCAGTTTGGTTTGGAGACTCTTAAGCAACGGGGATGGGTTTCCGCCTGTGTCTGACACCCGGCTGACCAAACAACAACGATTCACAATTCGCCACATTCACTGCCGGTATTTTAATTCCCCCCCAAGCAACAAGAAGGTCTGATTTTGGTGCCATTTCTTCCAGCTCATAGAAAAACGAGACAACATAGAAAATCTGACAAATGCCATTTTCAAGGGAATCTTCCTACATAGATATCGGTAAGTTATTGGCTGCTCTACCTCCGTACCTCACCTCTCACCACTCTCCCAAAGCTCAAAAAAGCTTTCTCTATAGTGGGGTGAAAAATACGATGTGTTGATATTATTGGAAATCTTCCTCCCCTCTCTCCGCGCCCCCCACCCCCCCACTCCCACCCCACCCGTCCGCGTCTTTGCCAATGCCTGGGTGAACACCTCTCAAGGTCGTCACAATGGTTGGGTCGAAAGCCACCAGCAACGGTCACTGTGGAGTCCTGTAGCTCAATGGTTATAGCACTCGCCTCGCAAGCGAGAGGACCCGAGGTCGGTTCCCGGGCAGGGGGCGAAACCTTACTCCACACGCCTCTGTTTACCAGCAGTAAGTAGGAACCCGCTTGTTAAGTCGGTTGGTGGATCGCTTTCTGGGGGTAAAAATCCCCAAAGATAATTAAACAAATAATAATTTGGTCACTCAATCCGTGACTGTTTGTGGGACGCTGCTGTGCGCAATTGGCTGCCGTGTTTCGCCCACAAAAATATACACACTCAATCCACTTTACAATATATTCTGTGAAGTGCTTTGAGACATGAAAAGCCGCTACAAGAAATGCAAGGATTATTATTATTATTATTTATTATTATCAACCTCCCCCCACACCCCCGGATTCCTGCCCCCTCCAAAATCGACGGGATGAAATCGCCCAAATTGGCCCGAAATGGACCAATAAATACAACAACTTTAATTTATATTGCGCCCTTCACGCATATACAGTTAGCTCTTCTCCCCCTCCCTTGCCAAGCGATAGGGGAAAGTGTTTCCATCTACAGCGCAGGGAGAGATTGTTCAATCACTGTCTGATCGAGTCCCTGGAGACTATTCCCGAGAGCTCTGCTGGCTCCAGTCTCCTGGGAAATATAATGGGCTGCAGCACAGATGGCAAATTGTTTGAAGGATGTTACAGAAAGATAATGGGGGGGTTTAATCCGCCGAGTTTCCTTTGCACTCAGAAAGTTTTTCATCACGGGGGCTGCACGGGAGGATAATATTTTATAGCCGACGTTGCAGAGCGAGGGAACAAGATAAATAGTCATTTTTGGTGTCCCTTTTCGCAATTCTCGGAGGACAAGTTACATTAAAACCGAGCCTGTGTGTACGTAGCTGTTACAGAGTGCTTATTATCAGGCGCTCTGGGATTCTACCCTGCTCGAGGGGTGCTATGTGTATTAGGACGTCCTCCCGACGTGAACGGCGCCGTACCAATGTCATTTTGCATTGCAAGTTGCTGTTGTTGTCGGATTCATTTCCTACCTTTTTCTCATTTTCTCTCCCTGTTGCAACACATTTCTTTGTAGCACGGGTTCGGTCATAAAGCAGCTGCCTTGCGGACCCCACTGTTTGTGCCTGAGCTCTGCCATCCGTCTGGCTTTGTCTTGCCCGGATCTCACTGTACACTCAGGTTATCAGGTCGCCAGCGACATGGCTTCCTGCACACGAGCAGCGCACGGGAGGAGATGTCACCTCGACTCAGAGGATTAGCCTTTCTAACTTCCCGCGCACTAAAGTAACGTCGGCGGTGACCTGATAGAAATCGGCCGTTTTGCTTTCGTGCGGGAACTGGCAGGAAGAAGCGAAACAGACTGACGTGCCTCAATGTAGAGACGTTATGGATGGAGCCACCGTGTGGCAATGAGGCTCACTGTAAATATACAATATGTAGAGAGAGATTTCAATGCAACATTTGTGTTTTTTTCCCCCCCGTTCATGTCAACTTTAAGGCAAAACAGTCTCGCGGGCGAGAGCGCGCCGGGCGGAATTTCGGCCCTGCGGGTCTGTGGCGCAGTCATTAACCGGAAAATATCATTCCCTCTCCCCGAAGTGATGCGTTGCCCGAGATCCGAGCTATTTGTATTGAAGAAATAGGCGTTTGGATGAAAAGTTGCAGCGGTGGATTCCTGAACGACAGCTACTTAAAATACGTTGGGTGGACTCTGCACGACAAGGTCAGTCGACGCGTATGGCTCATCCCCGTCTCTCTTTCTCTTTCTCTCTGTCGTAAGAATAACGCCAGGACTTGAACGCAGATAGTCTAAACTGACGCTCCAATGCCGTGCTGGGGGGGTGGGGGGTGTTGCATTGTGGAAGAGAAGGGAGATTCTCTCTCCAGGTGTCCCGGCTGACAATCCCCCCCCTCAAATAAAATTGATCACTCACTCCATGGCTGTTTGTGGGACATTCCCGTGTGCAACTGGGCTGCAGTTGGGTAGGTTAAGGATACGCACAGTAAATAATACACCTCCGGAGGGCTTTACATCAAACACCATTTAAACCCAATGGCTGGTTACACAGCGAGGAACAACCCCAAAGCCCTGAGCCACATAGTGGTGGGATCTGGGACTGCGCCAGTGATCACTGGCTGTCTACTTTGGGGGGTGGGGGAAGGGGAGGTAAAGAATGAAACTCAGACGCCTGAAATTTCTCACAGAGTCAGGCGTACGACCTTTGTTTTAAAATGTAATACAACACGGAGTTTTGGTAACCATGTTAAGTCGTTTTTTCACGGTTCTTAAGAAGACGTGACCGGTGTTTTCACGTACCTCCAACAACAACAACAACAACAAAATGACATTTACAGAGCACCTTTCATGTCGGGAGGACGTCCCAAAGCGCTGAACAGTTAGATGTCCATCAGTTGAATTCGATCCTCTGGGGGATGGGGAGCCAGTGGAGTTGTGCGAGGGTGGGAGTGATGGGGTCGCGGAGCCTGGTGCGTGAGAGTACACGAGCTGCAGAGTTTTGGATGATCTGCAGCTTGTGAGGGGAAGAGTTGGGAAGGCCGATGAGGAGGGAATTCCCGTAGTCGAGCCTTGAGGTGACGAATGCGTTGGTGAGGGTTTCGGCAGCCTGAGGGGTGAGGCAGTGGCGGAGTCTGGCAATGTTGCGGAGGTGGTGGTAAGCAGTGCCGGTCATGGTGCGGATGTGGGGGAGAGGACAGTTCAGGGTCAAACAAGATACCCAGGTTCCTGACTGGCTTAGTGAGGTTGAGTGTGCAGCCGTGGAGGCTGATGCTGCCAGTGCCTGAGGTGCGGAGGCGCTGGCGTGAGCCAATCTGGAGGGCCTCGGTCTTGCTGACGTTGAGTTGGAGAAAGTTGTCCAGAACTTGATGTCGGACAGGCAGTCGGTCAGGACCTCATTAGTCCTGGAGTTCAGGCTGGAGGCAGAGAGATAGAGTTGGGTGTCGTCCGCATACATGTGGAAATTTACCCCATGTCTGCGGATGACGTCACCAAAGGGGAGCGTGTAGAGGGTGAAGAGGAGGGGACCGAGGACAGAGCCCTGAGGAACACCACACGAGACAGTTACCGCACACACATAGTTACACAGAGTCATACAGCACGGAAACAGGCCATTGAGCCAAACAGCATGACATTGTTTATACACAAGCCTCCGCCCCTCCTATTCCCCTTGATTCCCTTCTCAGAGATTCTGAGAACACATTCAACACACATATATATATATATATATATATATATAGGTGAAACGGATTAACAAAGAAAGTACAGCAGGGAAACAGGCCATTTGGCCCAACCAGTCTCTGAATCCTGCGAAGTGCATTGAGATATTTTGATGACCTGATATGGCGCTGTCTGAAAAGTAAAGAATATTATTATTTATCAAGGGGACGCTGCTGTGCGCAATTGGCCGCCGCTTTTCGCCCACAAAATATACAATCGATTCACTTTACAGTATATTCTGTGAAGCGCTTTGAGACGTCTCGAAGGTGTGATAAGGCGCAAGAATTATTATTATTATTATACATCAAGGCAACAGGATGTGGTTCAGGATAGTGGAGGCAACTTTAGGATAGACTCCAGGCCTGAACACTGGACTCATTTAATAAACATCAAATGAGAACAGTGGGTGGATGAAATCAGCCAAAAGGACTTCTTCATCCAATCCCCTCTCTCTTGTGATCTTGTGTCTCTCTTTTTCTCTCTCTCTCTCTTTCTCTCTCTATCCCTCCCTCCCTTCGCTCCGTCCATGGCCTCTCCCTCCCTTCCTCATTCCTTTCCTTCCTCTAACCGTGTTTTCTTTATTTTCTGAAGCAAAGCGATGTGAGATTGAAGTGTCTGCTTGGATTACTGGGGCTCTACTGTGACAAAGAGTTTTGCTCAAAGATGGAACTTTTCACTAGTCGTTTCAAGGTGAGTGATTTTCTTTTCAATATCTACTTTAACTTCCAGCAATTGAATGCGAAGCCATTACATTCCAGATCCTCTCGCCCTCTCCCCCCCCCCCCCCCCCCCCCACCGAATGATCTCATTTTTACCTTTCTTCATACCAGTCACTGGTTAAAATTGTATTTAAAAGTTTCGCCCCCAAAATACACAGTCAATTAAATTGGTCGGTTATTAAGTCTGGAGCTCTCTCCCCCAAAAGGCGATACATGATGGATTCATTCACATCTTCAAGACGGAGGTGGATAGATTTCTGTTAGGTCAGGGTCGCAAGGGACATGGTACAACGGTGGGTAATTGGACTTGATTTACAGATCAGCCACGATCTTAAAGAATGGTGGAACAGGCTCCAGGGGCTGAATGGCCTCCTCCTGTTTCTATGATTCTATGTTTAATTCACTTTACAGTATATTCTCGGATGCGCTTTGAGACGTCTCGAACACGTGATGAGCTGCTATAACAAATGCAAGGATTATTATTCTTATTGAAAATATCCTTTGGCACTTGTAACCTTGAAACGTTTTTCGCATTAATTACTGTTGAGTGTAGTGACTGTGCAAGTGAATGTGTCAGTCACAGGTATGTCATACAAATAGCCATGAGGTGGTTGACCAATTTTATCGGTGGTGGGGTGGGGGGGTGTCAGGGGCGATTGCTGACCCAGACACCGGGCGGGAGAAATTCCCTTCTCTTTTCGAATAAGGTCACTGAATCTTTAAAGACCCCCCACAAAAAAAATGGCTCCAAGTCCCATCTGCCTGTTAAGAATATTATTACTGACTGGGTTCTCACGTGTAACAACACCCGGCCGGTCACGGTGACGGGTTTCCGTGTGTGTCAGACACCCGGCTGGTCACGGTGACGGGTTTCCGTGTGTGTCAGACACCCGGCTGGTCACGGTGACGGGTTTCCGTGTGTGTCAGACACCCGGCTGGTCACGGTGACGGGTTTCCGTGTGTGTCAGACACCCGGCTGGTCACGGTGACGGGTTTCCGTGTGTGTCAGACACCCGGCTGGTCACGGTGACGGGTTTCCGCGTGTGTCAGACACCCGGCCGGCTGATCACGGTGACGGGTTTCCGTGTGTGTGTGTCAGACACCCGGCCGGTCACGGTGACGGGTTTCCGTGTGTGTGTGTCAGACACCCGGCCGGTCACGGTGATGGGTTTCCGCGTGTGTCAGACACCCGGTTGACCAAAGGTAAAACGCCTTCCAGGCTAATCCCAAACACTTGTACTCTTTTACTTCCTAACAGGACAGAATCATCTCAATGACACTGGACACAGAGAGCGAAGTGGCCGTGCAAGCAATAAAAGTGCTAACTCTCATGTTACAGTAAGTCAATGAGCTCCTCTCGGGGCGATTAAGAAATAATTGGCGTTGAATAAGAAATAGCGCAAATGTCCTCCTTTCCCCGTGTCCGTGTGATCTTCATGATGTTCCTGTTTCCCACAGGAACTGTGAGGAGGTGTTAACCTCGGGGGATTGCCAGCGACTGTGTCACCTGGTTTACTCGGCTCACAAGCCTGTGGCTGTGGCAGCCGGTGAATTTCTCCACCGCAAGTAAGTGAAAGGTCTCTGCGCTGTTCGCCGGTCAGCCGGGCTCGGGTGGGGAGAAGGGCACACTCTCGTGTCGGGCTCAGAAGGTCGTGCATTCGAGCCTCACGTCGGGGTCTTTGAGCCTCGCACTCCAGGCTGACCCTCCAGTCCAGCGCTGGGGGTTGTGACTGTAAACAGAGCTGCCTGTTCAGGTGGATGTTAACGATCTCGTGGCACATGTTTAAAGATCCCAGATTCGAAGAGGTGAAAGGAGTTTCTCCCGGTTTCCTGGCCGATAACCTTGTGATCTTGTGTGTGACTCTGAAGTGAGAGCGGAGAGCGTCCTGTAGCTCAGTGGTTAGAGCACTCGCTTTGCAAGTGAGAGATCTGAGTTCAATTCCAGGCAGAGGGCGAAACCTTGGGCAAGTTTCCTTACTCCACACAGAGCCTAATAATAATCCCTCCAAAACCAAAAACAATAATAAATTGGTCATTTTCAATCTACGACTGTTTGTGGGACATTGCTGTGTGCAATTGGCTGTCGCGTTCGCCCACAAATATACAGTCAATTCACTTTACAGTGTGTTCTGTGAAGCGCTTTGGGACGTCCTCCCGACGTGAAAAGCACTATATCAAATGCAAGGATTATTATTATTATTATTATCAGACTGACACCTAAAGGCAGGGGGAGTGGGACTAAAATAATAATCCTTGCTTTTTAAATCCTTGAAACGTTGGGCAAATTTCCTTACTCCACACGCCTCTGTTTACCAGCAGTGAGTAGGAACCCGGTTGTTAGTCGATTGGCAGATCGCTTTTCTGGGGATAATAATCCCTTCAAAAAAAGGAATTATTATAGCTCTGACAGGTATCTGGGTGTGGGCAAGTTCAGGGGTTGGTTTGCGGGCTGTAGAATCCAATCACTGTGTGATTCCTGCTCTGTTCAGGCTGTTCTGTAGCACAGAATCGGAACTGGAAGAAGAAACCGACAGAAGGAAAAGGAAATTTATCCACAACAGTAAACACATCACAACTCTGGTACGGTTCTTCCTGAAGAGTGAGGTAGGTCCCACAGCCACGAAAGTCCTCGCGCTAACACATTAGCGACGCTGAAGCTTTTTCACTCGGACTATATGTCGCCTTTTCGATTTCCCTTCTTTTTTGTGCAGCTGCAGATTATTATTGAGATCCCTCTGCAGCTCGTGTCCTCTCCCTCACTGAGCTTCGTGAGGCCATCACCTCCATCCTCGCCGGCTTCACTGGCTCCCCATCCCCCAGTTCAAGATCCTTGTCCTCACTTTTAAAGTCCTCTCTACGGTCTGGCTCCTCCTTACCTCTGTGACCTGTTAAAACCTTACCAACCTGTCCACTCCCTCCGCTCTGCAGTCACTGGCCTGCTGCATGTCCCCCACCCTGACCGACCCGCCATCGGCAGTCGGACCTTCAATCTTTCTGCCCCCACCCTCCGGTACTCCATCCCAGAGCCCCTCTGCCTCGCCCCCTCCCTTTTCTCCACCAATTCCCATCTTGAGACCTTCCTTTTCAACCACGCCTTTGGTCATTTTCCCTCCTCCACCCCCCCTTGCCCTCCACCCCTCTCTGATCCCAACCCGCAGCTCAGCTGCAAACCCCTCATTGTCCAGCGCCTTGGGACGTCCTCTCGGTGTGAAAGGCACTGTGTAAATACAATTTGTTGTTATTGTTGTATGTGTTGAACGAGGAGAGGGAGGGAGGGACTCTGCAATGGAGATCCAGAGAGCAGGGTCAGAATGGCTGAAAGCCCACCTGTGGATGGTGGGATTGGGAACATGGAGCAGGCGGGTGCTCGCTGAGCCAAGGGGGCAGGGGGGTCGGTAGGGATGAAGGAGATATGAGAGGTGAAGTGGGGCGAGACCGTGAGTAATTCTAGTAGTGGGAGACTATTTAGCAGCTCGAATGCTTTGCTCTCGGTCCTTCTGACGTGAAAGATGGGATACAAATGTAATTGGCTGCTGTTGTTGTTGCTTCCGTTTAGTGGCACGCACATTCAGCTTACCTGGTGGACAGCCTGTGGGAGTGTTCTGCACACGCACTGAAGGACTGGGAAGCCATGACGGGCCTGTTACTGGATGACCCCGACCTGCAGGACGATGGTATTGGTTAGCGCCTTCGCCTCGCAAGCGAGAGGACCCGGGTTCGATTCCCGGGCAGGGCGAAACATTAGGAAAGTTTTCTTACTCCACAGGCGTCTGTTCACCCAACAGTGAATAGGAACCTGGTTGTTAGTCGATTGGTGGGTTGTTTTTATGAGGGTAATAATTCCTTTAAAATCAATAATAATAATTTGGCCACTCAATCCACGGCTGTTTGTGGGACGCTGCTGTGCGCAATTGGCCGCCGTGTTTCGCCCACAAAATATACAGTCAATTCACTTAACAGTATATTCTGCGAAGAGCTTTGAGACGTCTCGAAGACGTGATCAGGCGCTATATCAAATGCAAGGATTATTATTATTATTACATTCTTTGAAAATCTTCGGATGAGATGTTAAACCGACGTCCCCTCTGCCTGTTCAGTGGATGTTAAAGCTGAGGCGAGTGGGAAGGGGAAAGTTGACAGAAAGAGATGATCTTCAATACCTTTTACGCTGAGGGTAATCAGGGACTGGAAAGGTGGTTGAGACCAGAACACTGGGACTCATAAACATTCAGCTGGATTCAATGATGGGAGGATGGGAGGATGGATGTTCTGGAGGGATGAGATTTGGTGGACCAAACGACCTTCTTCATCTGAACCAAACTTGTATCTTGAGGACCACCCTACCCGTTAGGGAAGAAACAGCTCTCTCCTTCCCTCCTAACGTGAAAGGCATTATACAAATGTAACGTTGTTGTTGATATTTCTCCTCTTATTTCCTCCCTATTTCCCCTTCCCTTCTATCCCCTCCTCTCCCCCTCCCCCTCCCCTCACCTCAGCTTTAACAGAGTGTGAGGAGAAGGCAGTGCTGGAGATAATGTTGAGCACTATTTGTCAGGCGGCTGAAGGCCGTCCTCCTGTGGGCAGATGTTCAGGGAAAAAGGTTAGTTTTGCGAAGCTTCATTTCCTAGCGTTTCGGTGTTAAGAAAAAATCTTCAGTGAATTTTAAATCATTTTCTGGTCTCTCAATCCAAGACTGTTTGTGGGCCACCGCTGTGCTCAATTGGCTGCTGCGTTTCATCCACAAAATACACAGCCACTCCACTTTGACAGTGCATCCTGTGAAGCGCTTTGAGACGTCTCAACGACGCTACATCAAATGCAAGGATTATTATTATTATTGGAAGGGTGGCCGAAGGCACGATCGAGGAGGAAGGTCTTCAGACGGGATTTGAAGGAGGCAAGAGAGGGGGCGAGGCGGAGGGATTGCGGGATAGAGTCCCAGAGTGTGGGGCGGGAAGTGCGGGAGACCTGAAGCAGGCCCAGTGTCTGCTGAGCGGAGGGAGCACTCTCACATCTGAGTCAAAAGGTTGTGGGTTCAAGCTCCCACGTCGGGACTCGGAATCACATTGTCTAAGCTGACGCTCCAATGCAGCGCTGGGGATGATTTTCATTGCCGTCCTTCGGATGAAACGTTAAACTGAGGTCCTGTCTGTTCCCGTTCAGGTGAACATTAAAGATCCCATGACACTATTCCAAATCGAGAAGGGAGTTTCTCTCTTGGTATCCTGGCCGACAATCCCACAAATAAAATTGGTCATCCACCGCATGGCTGTTTGTTGGACAATGCTATGCGCAAATTAGCCGCTGGGTTAGTCTACGAACTACACAGTCACTACACTTCACAGTAAAATTCTGCATAGCATTTTGACACATCCTCCTGGTGTGAAAGCCGTTAATTCAAAAACAAGGATGATTATTATTATTGTTAGCGTAAAGAACTGGGGTCCGAAATTAAGGCTTGATCTGTTTGCACCATCTTAAATTCTAAGACAACGACAATAGGAACTTGTATTATATAGACAGTGCCCTCTACGCGGGATAGTGTCTCGGAGCGCTGGAAAGCAAGGGAGAGACAATGGTCATGAGTAACCTCAGGTGTCAGTGTTAGCCCTGTTCGAACATGAGGACATGTGGTTTCTGGGAATAACTGGGAATTGTTGGACTCGGATAAATCTTCTGGTGCCGTCGTAGGTCCTAACCGCCAAGGAAAGGAAAACTCAGCTGGAGGACCGTGCCAAGCTGACCCAACACTTCATCGTGGCTCTTCCCCAGCTCTTAGCAAAGGTACGTGCAGCTCGTAAAGGTGTCTCAGTATCCAGCTCTTAAAACCTCCTTGCACTTATCTTCTGATTTCAGACTCTTTTGCCCTCTCGAGGATCAGTCCCGAGTGGCCATAACTCCATCCCCTATGTGTCAATCGCCTTCAAAACCCTTCATGTCCCAGCACCTCCTTATCTCTCTGATCTTCTCCCATCCCACTCTCTCCTGATCACCCTCACTTAATCCTTCTGATTTTATGCCCCTAATCTCTGGGACTCCCACACCCCCTCTCCGCCTCACCAGCCCCTCTCTCCCTATCTGTTTTTATCTACTGTACATCACTACTTTGAAGCTATATAGTTTAGGCTGACGCTGCAGTGCAATGCTGGGGGTGGGGGGTGGGGTGGGGGTGGTGGTTGCTGCTTTGTTGGAGTTGCTGACCTTTGAATGAGATGATAAACCAATGTCCCGTCTGCCTATCCGGGTGGGTGTCAAAGATCCTATGGCGCTATTTGAAAAGAAAGGGGACGTTGCTTTGCGCAAACTGGTTGCCGCATTCGCCTGTAAAAACACACAGTCACTACACACCAGTAAATGTGTGAAGCGCTTTGATACGTCCTCCGGGTATGAAAGGCCCTGTTATTAACTGCAAGGATTATTTATTAGTTTTACATTTCTCACCTTGAAACCAACCTCTTCAACTGCTTCTGTGATCACCTCCCACTTCCTCTCTCCACCTCTCCTGACCCCAACATTGTGAAGCGCATTGAGACGCTATCCTACCTGAAGGCCGCTGTATAAACAAGCTGTTGTTGTTGTTGTTGTTGTTGATTGCACAGTACTCTGCGGAGGGAGGAATGGTGATTCATCTCCTTCAGGTGCCTCAATACTTTGACCTGGAGATTTACAGCACGGCCAGTCTCGAGAAGGTGAGGGAGTGAATGTGTGGGGTCATCGCTCAGCGAGTGGGAAAGATTTACACTTGGCCTTTGGAAAATGGTGGGCGGTGGAGGGAAGGGGAACCGGGGAAATCCATCCCGACTGCACATGGACAGGAGGCCTGGAAAAGCAGCCTGGGATTACCGAGGGTGTCAGCCTGGCTCAGTCAGTAGCGCTCTCATCTCTGGGCCCCAAGGTGGTGGGTTCAAGCCCCCACAGCGACCATTGGGTTGTGGTGACCCAACGACCATTTTGGATTCCAGCCCTTTTTTAAGAAAAAAAATGGCCGACTTCCAGGTCATCAGGTCCTGGCTGAGGTCACCTCTGGCGGGTGAGCAGTGTGCAGGAAGCGATGTCAGCAGCGACCAGGCGACCCGGAAGTCATCTTTTTTTAAAAAAAAAGTGTGGGAGCGCCGATGGTGAACTTGAAGAAAATGTCCAGTAATGGCGGGGGTGGGGGCGGAACAGGCTGTATAAGGCGGGTTGTTATTTTATTAAACGCCCGCTTGCAAGTCAAAGCCCGAGTGGGTAAGTAAGCAGGGTGCGTCCCTCCCTCCAGAGAGAGAGAGAGAGAGAGGGAGAGAGAGTCTGCATTACCATTCAAAACACAGGGAAATTTCCATGTGTTGGTGGGATACGTATGTGGAACTTTCAGTCTGGTTTGGATACTCGAGGAGGATGGGTTTCTGTTCATGTCAGACATCTGGCTGATCCCTCACAACCTCTCCCAATGAGGCTCTGACTGTATTTACACGCTTCCGAGATGCTGCCCCACGCGAAGGGCGCTATAGAAATGCAAGTTGTTATATTTGGGTCCTCAACTGTTTCCCTGTGACTTGCGGAAAGCCTCTGAACGTACTGTTTGTTGGTGTTGGTTGCCTTAGCATCTGGACACGCTGCTGAAGCAGATGAAGGAGATTGTGGAGGGGCACACAGACCCTGACGTGCTGGAGATGTGCTCCAAGACCTACCTGGTCCTCAGTAACCAGGAGATGGCCAGCCACAACCGCGTTGACGTCGCCAAGACCCAACTCATTGACCAGCTGGCAGACAAGTTTAACAAACTGCTGGCGGACTTTCTCCAGGAGGTGAGTCGTTGGATCACTTTCCTGGGTAACGGTTTGTATGTCACCTTAGCGCAGTGGTAGCCTTCTCATCTCTGAGTCAGAAGGTTGTGGGTTCAAGCCCCACTGACACCGTATGTAGTACTGGGGGGGTGTTGCGTTGTCCGAGGTGCCAAGGTGTAACAAGGGCGAAACCTTGGGCAAGTTTCCTTACAATACTCCCCTAATAATAATCGCTCAGGAACACAAAAAATAATAATAATTTGTCACTCAATCCACGACTGTTTGTGGGACGCTACTGTGGGCAATTGGCTGCCGCGTTTCGACCACAAAATATTCAGTCAATTCACTTTACAGTATATTCCGTGAAGCGCTTTGAGATATCTCGAAGACGCGAAAAGGCGTTATGTCAAATGCAAGGATTAGTTTTATTATTATTGTTATTATTATTGTTGTGCATTGTGTCAGAGACCTGGTTGACCATCCCCCAAAAATTAAGAAATTCAGGCAATTCATATCTCTTACTTTAAGACATTTCTAAACCCAAAGGGCAAGTTATTGGGTTCCTGCTGTCTGACTCTTGCTCTGTAACAGGGAGACAACTTTGATGATGAGCATTCTTACCAGATGTCGTCCACATTGAAGCGACTGGCAGTTTTCCACAAGTAAGTGCGTGATTTGAAGTGTTATAATGCGGCGCTGTCTTGCAGGGTAGCGGTTAGAGCACTCGCCTCACACGCGAGAGGACCTGGGTTCGATTCCTGGGCAGAGCGAAACCTTAGGCAAGTTTCCTTACTCCGCAAACCTTTGTTTCTGTAGCAGTAAGTAAGAACCTGGTTGTTAGTCGATTGGGAGATTGCTTTCCAGGGGCAATAGTCCCTTAAAAATCTACATATAATAATAATAATTTGCTCACTCAATCCACGACTGTTTGTGGGATTGGCTGCCGTGTTTTGCCAGCAAAATATATACAGTCACCCCGCTCTACAGTATATTCCGTGAAGCGCTTTGAGACGTCTCGAAGACATGATAAGGCGCTGTATGTAATGCGAGTACTATTATTATTACGAGTTCTCAGAAAGCTCCTTTCCTAACAGCGAATACCGTTGCTGTTCTTTCTTTTCCAGCGCTCATGACTTAACAAAATGGAATCTATTCAACGGCACGTGTGACCTGCTGAAGGCCGGTGCAGAGAACCGAGACGTGCCTGAACAGGTGAATCCGCAGGGAATAGCGCTATTACATCACGACCTTCCTCTTTGACCGTGTTTACGGTCACCTCCTCCCTCCCTCCCTCGCTCCCTCTCTCGCTCCCTCCCTCCCTCCCTGGCTCAGTGCTCCGAGACACCCTGTGCGAAGGGCGCTATGTAGACACAAGTTGTTGTTGCCGACCTCCCAATGTGAAGGCCGCTCTGTAGGTGTAAATTTATATTATGTTGTATCGCAGTGACACACACACACAAACGGTCCTGGTGGCCTGGTAAGAGGGTGATTTGTTTTGTGTCGGAAGTCAGGTAGCCAGCACAATTGGCTGCCGCGTTTCGCCCACAGAATATACAGTCACTACACTTTACAGTGTATCTTGCGAAGCGCTTTTGAGACGTCTCGGAGACTTGGTAAGGCGCTGTATCAAATACAAGATTGCTGCTATTATTATTATTGGGCAAGTAAACCTTACAGACGTGTTTTGTGTTGGACAGGTCATTGTGCAGGCGATGAGGTGCTCCTATTATCCCCTCCTGTGGCAGTTAACTAAAGTATTGGAAGATATTCCCTGCAAGGTATGTGCCGGCTCTCGCCTCATTGCTAAACCCAGCTCAGCGGGAATCACCGACAACAGCTTCCCTGTCACTTGGGAGGCTCAGATGAAAGGATGGACGTGCGGGAACGGGAGGGCTGTGCAAGGGAAGGACCTTAATTCATATCCTTGAAGGACCATAATAGAATCCCTTCGACCATTACGCCCCTAACTTCTGGAACTCCCTGCCTCGACCCCTCCGCATCCAGCCCACCATAAGATCTACCTCTTCCACTGCGCCTATGATAACCTCCCCTTTCTTCCTTCTTATAATAATAAGCCTTGCATTTCTCCGCAGCGTCTTTATCACATCGTCGAGACGTCTCTAAGTGCGTCACAGGATACACTGCAAAGTGAATTGACTTGTGTATTTTGTTGTGTCCAACCCCACCAATGTGCAGCGCTCTGAGACGCTATCCTGTGTCTGCGTGCCTGTATGTGTGTGCGCGTGTGCGCGTGTGTATGTGTTTGTGCTCGTGCGTATGTATGTGTACGCACACGTGTGTGTGCGCACATGTGTGTGTGTGTGTGGAGGCGCTGTGTAAATATAGCTGTAGGGTTGCACAGCATCTGTGTACCACCAGAGGGCGCTATTTGCCACTCAGTGGTATTTTATGGCAGCGAAGCGTGTAATCACATGTACATACAAACACCACATGATCGGGTCTGGAGGAAGAAGGCCCTTCGGCCCATCCGAGCTCATCCCTTCAGATCACCCGCACTACCGCTCCCCCCGTCACAGCACCAAACGGCTCTTTAAATGAGTCCAAATGAGCCGAGTTTCGCCCACAGTCGATGTGCCTTACAGTATAGTCTGTGAATTGTGTTTCGAGACGTCTCGAAGACATGATAAGGCGCTGTACCAAATGCAAGGATCCTTATTATATTATTTTATATATTATAAATGTCCGGGTCTCAATCACCTTCCCTGGCAACCTGTTCCAGTCATTGATTACCCTCCCCGTAAAGAAGCACTTCCTGGTGTCTGTCCTGAAATTGTCCCTTTACACCTCTAAACCTGTCTCCTCTTATTCTACTGTCATGATATGTCCTAAAGTATTGATGTTTAATGTTTAATGTTGGCCGGGACACTGATGGAAACTCCCTTCCCTTAATGAATAATGTCACGGTATCTTTAACATCCAACTGAACAGGATGCAACCTTAAGATCTAAAGGATGGCAACAACAACAACGTGCATTTATATAGCGCCCTTCACGCGGGGTAGCATCCCAGAGCGCTTGACAGTGGCGGGGTCCGACCCCCAAGCCAGGGGTGAGAGGGAGGGGGGGGAGGCGACCGTAAGCACGATCAAAATGGAAGGTCTTTAGGCGGGACTTGAAGGTGGGTGGGAGGGAGGAAGGCGGAGGGATTGAGAGAGACAGTTCCAAAGTTCTGGGGCAACGTGACAGAAGGCACGGCCACCAATGGTGGAGCGGAGGGCACGGGGGACAAATAGGAGGCCGGAGCCAGCCGAGCGGAGGCAGCGGGTGATCCAGTGGGGGGTAAGCAGGTCGGAGAGGTAGGGGGGTGCGAGGGAATGAAGTGATTTGTAAACAAGTGAGAGGATCTTGAAGTCGATCCATTCAGTAATTGGGAGCCAATGGTTCCTGGGAAGGACTGGTGCGATGGCACTTCCGTCAATGCAGGACCAACCCAGCACCACACTGCGGTGTCCGCCGAGATCATGAGATCAAAGTCCTGACATGGAGGGTGGAACCTTCAGAGGCAAGAGTGCTACCATCTGAGCCAGAGTGACACACTACACTGTAGTCCCTTTCACCTGACTGTCCGTTACTGGTGTTCAGTCCCATGCGGTTGAGACGGTGGGTTGGTTGTAGCTTGATCGGATGTCCAGGGGTTTGACACAGTAAATGTCGGGGGTTTGGTTGTCTACCGCTGTGAGGGACCACGTGCCACATTAACATAAATATCTCCTTGATTTCCTAGAGCCTCCAGGTGTCACTGCAGCAACAGGTGACGGATTTCTGTCAGGTCTGTAGGGAGTATCTGAGCAACACCAGCATTGTGGTTCAGGAGCAGGTCAGTACTGGTAGCCACACAAGGACTTCCGGTAGCCACAGCTCGGCCAAACTCACCATGCAATAATAATAACTATAATAGTCCTTACATGCCACATAGAGCCTTAAAAGTGGCATAACCTTAGGCAATGTCCTTACTCCTTTCTTTGCATAAGTCATATGAATCATCTTTCTCCTGACACACATACTACGGACACTCCCCCCTTGTCGGCCTCCCCAACTCTTCCCTCCACAAGATGCACATCATCCAGAACTCTGGAGCTCGTGTCCTCTCCCACACCAGTCTCCGTGACCCCATCACCCCCACCCTCTCCCGGCTCCTCACTTCCAAGGCCCTCCACGGCGTTGCCCCCTCCTACATCTCTGATCTGCTGACCCCCTGTCAGGCTGTCCGCTCCCTCCGCCGAGCAGGCTCTGGCCTGCTCCAGGTCTCCCGCCCGACCCGCCTTACCATCGGCGGTCAGGCTTTCAGCCTCTCTGCCCCCACTCTTTGGAACTCCATCCCACAGTCCCTTCCCCTCGCTCCCTCTCTTGCCTCCTTCAAGGCACAACTCAAGACCCTCCTTTTTGACCGTGCCTTCAGCCGCCCTCCTACCCCCTCTGCCCTCCCTCATCCCAACCCTGTACCCCCCACCCCCACCCCCACGCTCGGGTCCTGAGCCCTGACTGTTCAGCGCCTTGGGACGTCCTCCCGATGCGAAAAGCGCTTTACAAATGTAATGTTGTTGTTGTTGTTTGGTGTCCTCGGTTCCAGGCTTTTGTGGTGCTGTGCGACTTGTTGATGGTTTTCAGCCATGAGGTTGTGGGCAGTGAGCAGTTGCCGTACCTGCCAGAGGCGTCTCTACAGTCTGAGCTCCTGGCCTTTGTACTGAAGCACGTCTTTGGAGAGCAGCAAGAGGAGAGCCACAGCGCAGGTCAGCAGTGGTTTCAAAACCCGCTTCGACCTTAATATTAATAATAGTAATAATAATAATAATAATAATTATGCACCTTTATAATAATAATAATCCTTGCATTTGATATAGCGCTTTTCGTGTCTTTTAGACGTCCCAAAGTTCTTCCACATGATATATTGCAAAGTGTAGTGACTTTGTGTTTGTAGGCGAGAGCCAATTTGCAAATACCCATGAAGTGAATGACCAATTTTATTTGGGGGATTGTTGGCCAGGAGACCAGGAGGGAGAAACTCCCTTTTCTTTTCGAGTCCGGCCATTGGATCTACAACGTCCACCTGAGCAAGCAGATGTCCCTCTGCCTTGCCCCCTCCTCCCTTGCTTGGCTTCCAGCCCCTGTGACATTTCCTATATGAAGGGCGCTATATAAATACAACTTGTTGTTGGTAAAAGAAACACACCTCAAGACCTATCTCTTCAATTGGGCTCTCAACCATCTTCCCCGCCCCTGCTCCTCTCTCTCTCTCTCTCTCTCTATCTCTCTGTCTCTCTCGCTCCAGCTCAGACTAGTAGCCAGTTGTGCCAAACAATTTGCGATGTACATATAAGATCCAAGAATACATACACACAGGAAACACGAGCACTCCATACATGGGTAGAACTTGCCAAGGGGGGAAGCTGAAAGAGATCTAAGGACGTTAGTTGACTTGTCACTCACTGTGTCAAAACAGTGTCAGGCAGCAATAAACAAGGCAAACAGGATGCTGGGCTATATTGTTATATCAGTTGAGTTTAGATCCTCAGACCTCACTCTCAGGCTGTACAGAGGAAATGAGCAACTATTAGATAAGCTCAGGCTCTTCAGTCTTGAGAGAAGACGACTCAAAGGGGATCTTATAGAAATGCGTAACATCTTAAATTGAAAGAGCAAACCCAAATCATTCCCTTTTAACATCAAGACAATGGAACAAGAGGACACGGGGTTTAGAGGTGTGAAGGGCAATTTCAGGACAGGCGCCAGGAAGTTTTTCTTTACGCAGAGGGCAATCAATGATTGGAACAGGGTTACCAGGAAAGGTGTTGAGGGCAGGACACTGGGACTCATTGAAAAACACAGCTCAATGTTGTGATGGGAGGGAGGTGGGGTGGGGTGGGGAGGGATGAGACGAAATGGGCCAAAGGGCCTTATTCATCCAGACTGATCTTGTGAAAGGCACGACTGCATATGAATGTAATTTGTTGCTGATCAATTGGGCGATGCAGGTCCTCGGGTGGCCATGAGGTGTCAGCCACATTCCACAGTGATCTCTGGCCTTCACTGTGGAGACCCATTTTTTGTACACATAATAATAATAATCCTTGCATTTGATATAGCGCCTTATCACGTCTTGGAGACGTCTCAAAGTGCTTCACAGGATATTTTGCGGGTGAAACGAAATGGCCTAAAGGTTTGCTTTCCCCCCCACCCCCCCACACTGTGGCAAAGGTTACCTTAGGGGACAGAAGCCCCTTTCAGCAAAAATCCTGCTGAGCAGCAAATACACATTTCAACTGTGAATGAAATTGCTGTGAGCGAATTGGTTTTATTGGGGGGGAGAAAAGATGCCTTGACAAGATTGGGTTTGGATGAAGAAGGTCCTTCAGCCCATCTGATCTCATCTCTCCAGAACACTTACCCAACCATAATAATAATAATAATCCTTGCATTTGGTATAGCGCTTTTCACGTCTTCGAGACGTCTCAAAGCGCTTCACAGAATATGCTGTAAAGTGAATTGACCGTATATTTGTGGGCGAAACGCGGCAGCCAATTGCGCACAGCAATGTCCCACAAACAGTCGTGGATTGATGTGACCAAATTATTATTTTTTTTTCTGGAGAGATTATTATCAGGCGAGTGGAGTGAGGGGCACTCTATAAATGCAAGTTGTTGTTGTTGTGTTTAAAAAAGGATGGGGTTTGGGGGGAGCGGGAGGGGGTTTGGGGGGAGCGGGAGGGGGTTTGGGGGGAGTGGGAGGGGATTTGGGGGGAGTGGGAGTGGGATGCGAGTGAGGGAGTGAATGGGAGCCGTGAGAGAGAAGGTGGGGGCGGGAGTTAGTGAGGACGGACGGACGGACATACACGATGCCGCCCTCTCTTTACCCACGCCGCTGACATTGTGCACCCCTTTTTCTCTTCCCCCCCCCCGGGCCCCTCAGATGGGGAGCGTCAGGTGGAGGCGCTGCACAGAAGGAGGAATCTCCTGGCCGCCTTCTGTAAGCTGCTGGTGTACAGGATCCTGGATATGGAAATCGCTGCCCACATCTTCAAACACTACATCAAGGTACAGCCTGGGGTGAGGGGGTGGGTGTGGGGGGGTGCGGGGGGAGGGGGCGGGGGTTGAGTGTGGGGGGGAAGGAACCCTTAAGCGACCCTTGTTTATCACGTCAATATTTACGGGGTAGGAGAGAAGCGGATTCCCTTGAAAATAATACTACTAATAATAATTTGGTCACTTCGATCCACGACTGTTTGCGGGGACGCTGCTGTGTGCAATTGGCTGCCGCGTTTCGCCTGCAAAGATACACAGTTACTACACTTTACAGTATATCCTGTGAAGCGCTTTGAGACGACGACGTGATTATTATTATTATTATTATTATTATTATTATTATTATTATTATCTCCCAGTGTTTATCTCCTAAATAATTTGCTTGTAATTGGCTCTGCGATGTAGCCTGTCCAGGGTTGTGGCTGTGGAGACCCAAGAGAGTGAGCCCTCGCGTGTTTGGTTTCTCATTGGTAGTTATTATTAATATGGTTATTGTAGTATTACGTGGAGTACGGAGACATCATTAAGGAGACGCTGGGAAGGACCAGGCAGGCGGACAAGCTGGGCTATGCAAGGACCTTGATTCGCAGCCTGAAGCAGGTGAGAGGGAGCGAGCTGTGACCGCCACCCGCCCACAATTTCTGGGGAGAAGACGCGAGAGCCTGGCCTGGGGCTGAGACCTCAAGGCGCAGCAAACCCGTCAGCGAGAAAATCCACGACCCGTTTGCGGGGGACGCCGCTGTGCGCAGTTGGCCCCCCCCGCGTCCTTTCGCCCACAAAATACACAGTCACTCCGCTTTACGGCCTATCCCGTGAAGCGCTTTGAGACGTCCCGACGACGTGATCAGGTGCTGTGTAAAATGCAAGGATTATTATTGTTATTATTTTGGGTGGCAGCCCCATTGCTGCCCCCACCCCACTCGGGGCAAACACTGCCATTTGCTCGGTCTGTTTTGTTTGGTGTTTTGGGTTTGGCTGCTGCTCGGAATGGACGGATGGACGAGAATGCCTAAAGGGACATCCTCTTCCCTCCCCTCTCCTCTCCCCTCCTCTCCCCTCCTTCCCCCCCTCCTCTCAGCCCCTCTTCACAGCAGAAAGACTGATCCAGGCGTTTCTCGTGTGTTCGTTGTTGCAGTTGTTTGCTGAGGTGGTGCGAGAGCGCGGGCACATCCCGGGCCGCCGGTGTCCCGGGTTCGTCGCCATCAAGGACCTGGCCAGACGCTTCTCGCTGACATTCGGCCTCGATCAGCTGAAGACCAGAGACGCCATGGCCATGTTACACAAGTACCGTGAACTTTGACACCTTTCACGTCTGAGCGCGATTCTTACGTGTGCGTTTTTTCAGCTAAAACCTCCTGTGGATATTGTGGATCCTGGAGCTCAGTGGTTAGAGCTCTCGCCTCGCAAGCGAGAGGACCTGGGGTTCGATTCCCTGGTCAGGGGGAAACCCCGGGCAAGTTTCCGTACCCCGCGCACCTCTGTTTTTCCCGGTTTTTGATGGACCGCTTTTCCGGGGATAATAATCCCTTCTGAACAAATAATTTGGTCACTTCAGCCGCTGTGTGCAATTGGCTGCCGCGTTCCGCCCACAAAATGCACAGTTACTACACTTTACAGTATACTCGAAGACGTGATGAGACGCTATATCAAATGCAAGGATTATTATTATTATCGTTATGATTATTATTGCTATTGGTATCACTCTCTGCTGTGTGTGTGATCTGCGATCCTTCTGCGTTGACAGGAACGGCATTGAATTTGCCTTCAAAGACTCCGGTGAGAAGGGGCCACACGAACCTCCTCCTAACGTGGCCTTCCTGGACATTCTGTGCGAATTCTCCCCCAAACTGATCAGGACAGACAAGAGAACCGTGTAAGTGTCTTGACACGTCGCTGCTGTCGGGATAGACTGGATCGTTAGCTCCCATTTTCTGCTGAGAAGATACTATGCGAGACCATCGACGGCCGGACCTTCAGCATCTCTTGCCCCCACCCATTGGAACTCCATCCCACAGTCCCTTCCCTCCCTCGCCTCCTGCAAGGCTTGTCTCAAGACCCTCCTCTTCGACCCCGCTTTCAGCCACTCTCCCACCCCTCCCCTCCCTGCCCTCCACCCCTCCTGATCCCAACTCCCTGTTGGGGACCAAATCCTTAGATGTCCAGCGCCTTGGGACGTCCTCCCGACGTAAAAAGCGCGGTGTAAATGTGATTTGTTTAAGAGGGCGGCTAATAGAGCTCCTTCATTGATTAATTATGTGTCAGCCTGGCTCAGGTCAGCAGCTCTCTCTCCTCGGAAGGTTGTGGGTTCAAGCCCCACGTTCTCCCGGCGTCCTGGCCGGCAATCATACAATAGCCCCCGAAACACACAGTCACCCCACTTTAGAGTATATCCTGTGAAGCGCCTTTGAGACGTCTCAACAAAGCGACGAGGCGCTATGTGGATTGCAAGGATTATTATTATTATTTAAGCAAAAATTCCATCTTGTATGTCTTGTTAAAGATATAACTACCTGGAGAGGTTCATCACAGCCCCGATGGCAGTGAAGGGGGGGGACGTCTGGCTGCCTGTGATGTTATACAGAAGTTCCCTGTTGGAGAGCAGGGAGGAGGATTCCATATTAACAGACGGCAGCGATCAGAACCCTCTCACTCCCGTGCGTCAGACAGTCAGGCCCAACGCTGTGAGAGGTAAGGTACCAGCGGGTAAGTGATCCAGAGAGAGAGAGATGGAGGGAGGGATGGTTAGAGATAGAGAGAGAGAGAGAGAGAGAGAGAGAGGAGGGGTGGTCAGAGAGGGGGAGGGAGAAAAAGAGCGAGAGAGAGGAGGTGATGGGTTATTGGCGGATCACTTTCCCAGGGATAATAATCCCTTTTTTAAAAAAAAAAATGCGGTCACTCAATCCACGACTGTTTGTGGGACGCAGCTGTGCGCGATTGGCTGCCGCGTTTCGCCCACAAAATACACAGTCACTACACTTTCCGTGAAGCGCTTTGAGACGTCTCGAAGACGTAATAAGACGCTGTATCCAAAGGCAAGGACTATTCTGGTTATTGTTGGCCAGGACACAAGGGCAGGAGAAGTTGCTGTCTCTTGTCCGGGGTCCGGTGTGTGTGTGTGTGTGTGTGTGTGAGACAGGTTTCCGCACTCTTCACGTGTGTTTTTCTTGGTTACTTTGCAGACGGCGCTGGGGGTTGGGGGCCGAGTGAGGAGGGGCCGAGCATGGGGACATCGGCCGCCAGAGAGTGTCTGAGCAGCCGCTGGGAATCTCACACAGAGACGGCAACGCTCCCCGGGGATTCAATCCTGCCCCACAACAGGTACTCACTCCCAGTCGAGTCACCCCTTCCTTCCTCCCACACCCCCCCACCACCTTTCTCCCCCCACTCCCCGAAAAGTATTCCTGGAAAAATCTTCTTCGGATCAAATAAAAACAACAGGAACAAGAGGAGGCCATTCAGCCCATCGAGCCTGTTCCCTCACCTTTTTAGATTTCAGCTGCTTTTTGAATTCCATTGGCTGCCCCGTTGCCACCTGCCCTTTATACCTCTTTATTAATATCTTTATTAATATCTTCATCAACATCCTTTACACCGGGTTGTGTCGTTCTGTCCGTCGCGCTTTTAAACCTCCCGATCGATTCCACCTCCGCAGCTCTCTGGGGCAGAGAGTTCCACATCCTCGCAGCCCCCGTGTCCGAGGAAATGCCTCCCGACCGCAGTTCCAACCGCTCAGTCTCTGATTTTAAGGCTGCGGGCGCTCTCTCTCACTCATTCCCACTCGCTCGCTTGCTCAAACACACGCACACGCACACACACGCACACACACGGAGGTGATATATTAATCTAGATCACATTGCCCCCCCCCCCCCGCCCCCCCGTTAGAGAGATTGAGACCACACGAATGGGAAATGGACCAACAGGAGAGGACGGAGCAAAGCCGACCGAGGGTGACTGCGAAGATGTGAATGAAATTGTGGACATCGACGGCTATTGATGAGAAGCTGGTGAGTAGCGCAGAGACGCATTTCATGTCCGTAACTTGCATTTGTATCACAATAATAATCATCATAACAATTTATCCTTGTATAAAAAAAATCTTTATATAAAAATAGTGCTATAAATAAAATGCCAGGATTATTATTATTATTATGATTATATATATAAATGTATATATTAATAGTGTGTCAGGGAATTCTCCCACTCGGATCCTTTTACCCCTGCAGCCAACGCCCTAACGGGGAGGGTGGTCCAAGCAGGACAAGCAGCGGGAAAGCTGCCCAGACAGCAATATTAATGGCAAACTATGTGGTTTTAGCTCCAGCACTTACCCCAACGCAAACTCTGGGCTCCCCCAAGCCTTGGCTCTTGTCAACCTGCGCCTAATAGTCTCCAGGATTAGCTAAGCACGGTGAGGGCGAGTGTGTGTTTGGCCAACACAATAATCAGCGAAATAACAAAATAGTTAGATTTTTTTGCCCTAAATCAATAAATACTCAATCAAGAAGCATTTATTCTGCTGGCCAACCGTGGACTTCCAAGTACACTGCCGACCACGTTGCTGAGCGAAGCTTTGAGAGGTTTCAATGTGCTGAGGTGTCGCTTTCACCACTGAGCTTCTGCTGTGATGGGGTCCAGTGGTTGGAGCACTCGCCTCACAAGCGAGAGGACCCGGGTTCGATTCCCGGGCGGGGGGAAACCTTAGTCAAGTTTCCTTACTCCGCACGCCTCTGTTTACGTAGCAATAAGTAGGAACCCGGTTGTTAGTCGATTGGCGGATCGCTTTTCTGGGGGTAATAATCCCTCCGAAAAACAATAATAATTTGGTCACTCAATCCACGGCTGTTTGTGGGGACGCTGCTGTGCGCAATTGGCTGCTGTGTTTCACCCACAAAATATAAAGTCAATCAACTTTACCTTGTATCCTGTGAAGTGCATTGAGGCGTCTGAACGACGTGATAAGGTGCGAAATCAAATTCAAGGATTGTTATTATTATTATTATTATTATTATTATGATTATTATTATTATTTCCGCAGGGCCAAGGAGATGGCGTCAAGCAAATTTACCTCAGGACTTTGGAGGGCGGGGGGGGTGGGGGCGTGTTGTGAAAATGCCAGCACTGCCAGGGCCAGATACCCTCTCGGTGGTGGGGGAGAGGGGGGGGAAAGGACTTCAATGGAACAGATCGCGATCGGTTGTGATGGCTGCAATGTAAAGAGAGAAGGGAGGCATTGGTCACAGTCGTTCGCGCAGAATCTGCATAAATAATAATAATGATAATATTAATAACCCTTTGCATTCGATACAGCACCTTCTCACGTCTTCGAGACGTCTGAAAGTGCTTCACGGACTATCCTGCAAAAGTGAGTTGACTGTATGTACACGTTTTGACCGACCACATTGAGCTCTTGACCATCGTTCATTGGCTGCCGCTTGGAAAATAAAAGGTTTCGTTTTTTAAGCGTCTCTCTCACACACACACACAAATACATCTACTCTTAAACCCTGGCTCGTCAGACTAATGAGGCGGGGGGGGAGATTATTTAAGTGCTTTCTCATTACGCTCCCGAAACTCTGGAACACTCTCCCTCTATCCCTCCGCCTTGTCCCTTCCCTCCCCATCTTCACGGTGGAGAAATTTCAATGTAATGCATTTTGGTAGAAAGAATGAGGGGAGGCAATATAATAATAATAATAATAATAATATAGGCGGTAATACAATCTTAAGGGGGTGAAGGAACAGAGAGACCTGGGGGGGCAGGTAACTGAATCCGTGATGGTGGCAGGACAGGGAGACACAGCTGTAAAAAGGGCATATGGGATACTGGGCTTTATAAATAGGGCCATAGAGTACAAGAGTCAGGAGGTTATGATTAACCCATATAAACACTGGTTAGGCCTCAGTTAGAATACTGCCCCAGTTCTGGGCCCCACACTATAGGAAGGATATTAAGGCATTGGAAAGGGCACAGAGGAGATTTACGAGGATGGTACCAGGAATGAGGGACCGTGATGATGAGGTCGAGGCCGATTCGATAACTACTTTTAAAAACCCGGTAGACGGGTATTCGAGGAGGACAGGTTTGCAGGTTATGGGGAAAGGGCCGGGGAGTGGGATTGACATTGCGTTGCTCTATTCAAAGAGACGGCAGACTCGATGGGCCGAACGGCCTCTTTTTGTGCTGTACGACGCTATGATTCTATGATTCAGGACGCCCCTGAAGATCTTTCTATTCGACCGTGCCTAAGGTCAACTCCCCCCTCCCCCCCCCCAGCTCCGCATCAGGTTCCCTCACAGTCAAGTGCTCTGGGACGCTATTCTTACATGAGGGGCGCTGTGTAAATGCAAGTTGTTGTTGGAGATCTAGTCCAATGAGACGGAATTTCCGGCCAAGTGCAATTACAATGTCAGCCAAATGCATTTACCTCACGACCCTCATCTTGGATAGACTCCCAGAGCTTTGGAATAACAACCAGGTCACTGTTCAACCACATTATATGATCTCCTGCTCCCTCATTAACATCACGTCGCAAGCCTTATTGTTGGGGTATCAGGGGTTGTGGACTGTTAAGATACTTTACTTTAATAAGTGTTCTTTAATGATGTGAAATGTACATTGTGTAAATGTTTTTTTTTAACAAAACGTAATGACGTTATTAATAATTTGCGGGGTTTGAAGGAAAGATTTTATTCCTGATGTAAATCTCACGTTGACCCGTGTGGCGTTTTGCCCAGCGGAAAACGGGACGGTCGGTAAAGCTGTTGCTTTCGGTATTTTTCTGACCTTTCCCGGATTAAACGGCAAGTTTTGTACTGCGAGCAGTGCGGAGGCAGCCTGCAAGCTCTAAACAGGTTATACATTGATGTACAGTTTGCACCAGTGATGCTTCATGAAATAAATACTGTAGCGCAATGCAGTGTCTGTCTGTCTGAGTGTCTGCCCCTACGTCAGTTGACTTAGAGCACCCCCCCACCCATGTTTCCTTACTCCACGTTCCTCTGCGTCCCACAAACAGTCATGGATTGACTGACCAAACGATCAAAAGATGTTACTCAGCGTTTAGGTCCAAAATACACCGCGTCATCACATATAATTACTCATTTACCACATCGTCCACATGCTCACAGACCAAGTCACAAGCATCACAAGTTTAGTTTAGTGTAGAACATCACCGTTTCCTTAGGTTCGACATAAAGGTGAGGTTATTTTCATTGTTAATGTTAAACTACTGTCAACCACTCCATCCTCATACACTGCCTCTCCTCCTTACGTAATCTTCGCAGACCTGCCGTTGCCTGGTTCGATTCCTATCTCTCTCACCGTCTCCACTTTGTTGTCTCTAAAGGTTTCTCCTCCAGCCCCCGCACTGTCACGTCTGGTGTCCCCCAGGGCTCTGTCCCTGTTTCCTCTTTAATATCTAATGCTCCCCCTCGGGGACATCATCTGCAGACATGGGGTCAACTTCCATATGTTGCGGATGACACCCAACTCTATCTTTCTGCCTCCACCCTCGACTCCAGGAGCACTGCTGTCCTGACAGACTGTCTGTCGGACATCAAGTCCTGGATGAGGGCAAACTTCTTACAGTTGAATGTGAACAAGACTGAGGCCATCCCGATTGGTTCACACCAGTGCCTCTGCACCTCAGGCTCTGGCACCATCAACCTCCATAGTTGCACACTTCAACTCACCAGCCAGTCAGGAACCTGCGGGTCTTGTTTGACTCTCAACTGTCTTTTCTCCCCCACATTCAAGCCATGACCCGCTCTGCCTTCCCTCACCTCCGTAACATCACCCGACTCCGCCACTACCTCACCCCTCAGGCGCTGAAACTCTTGTTCATGCCTTCATCACCTCCAGGCTCGACTATGCAAACCCCCTGCTTGTGGGCCTTCCCAACTCCTCCCTCCACAGACTGCAGATAATCCAGCACTCTGCAGCCCGTGTCCTCTCCCGCACCAAACTCCGTGACCCCATCTCCCCCACTCTCGCCCGACTCCATTGGCTCCCTATCCTTCAGAGGATCCAGTTCAAGATCCTGGTCCTCACCTACAAAGCCCTCCATGGCCTCGCCCCACCCTACCTCTGTGACCTCCTAAACCCCTACCAACCCGCCCACTCCCTCCGCTCAGCCGGCTCTGGCTGCTCCACATCCCCCGACCCACCCACCCCACCATTGGCGGGAGAGCCTTCAGCTGCTCTGCCCTCAACCTCTGGAACTCCGTCCCCCAATCACTCTGCCTCGCCCCCTCCTTAGCCTCCTTCAAGTCCCACCTCAAGACCCTCCTCTTCGACCACGCCATTGGTTACCCCCCTTCCCCTCCCCTCCCCCTGGCCCCAGCTCAGGTCTGAAATGCTGTCACTGTCCAGCGCCTTGGGACGTCCTCCCGATGTAATCTTGTTGTTGTTGTACTGAAGTGGAGGAACGAGGATTGTTACTATAAGGACAGGACGAGATTAGAAGCAATTTCTTCACTCAAGAGAACGTGACGTTCATCGCCACAAGTGGCAATTGTGCCTCGAAACATAAAACAAGGAGTTTAGGGAAACACAGGGAATAAAAGGGGGAATAATAAAGTGAGATACTTACACCCGTTGGCCTGTGAGTGTTGCTGAACCGTGGACTGGAAGATGATAATAATAATAATTCTTGTATTTGATATAGCGCTTTATCAGGTCGTTGAAACGTCTCAAAGCGCTTCACAGGATATACTGTAAAGCGAATTAACTGTATATTTTGTGGGCGAAACGCACAATAACCGTCACGTTGGCAGAGACACGATGGACAGAAGGACCTGCCCCTGAACTGAAAATTTGCTATGTTTCTCTGACGCTCAAGGACTTGTGTTCAGCTTGCGATGGTTGAAAGAAGATCTGCGGGAGACATTTCTGCTCGAGACGCTACGTTAGCAGCGACTGTCCTACATTGCGTTTGCGATCCAATCGCCCTTATTCTTGTCCGGCTTCCCCACACCCCCCAACCACCACCGGATCAAATTTGAGATCCTTGTGTCTGACATTCAAATCCCTGCACCACCTCGACTCCACCTTATTAGACTCCAGCAGTTACCCCAATGCACACTCTGGAGCCCCCAAACCGTGACTCTTGCCAACTTGTGCCTAATACTCTCTGGAATTAGGTAATCAGGATGTGTCCTTCCAGGGAGAGAGGGAGAGTGCATTCCATTCCAACAATCTATCTCTGGGATTTCCATGTGTAGGTGGGATGCAGGGAATTCCCAGCTTGGGTTGGAGACTCTTAAGCACGATGGTGGGTTTCCGCATGCGTCAGACACCCGGCTGATAAATGAGATACTACACAAGGATTGTTGACAGCTGTTATTGAGAGACGACTGAACCTGTTTGTCTGGGCTTCGCATTTGAACTTGGGTCCTGGAGTTAACAGAGCATTATTATTATTATCATTATTATTCCAGCTCCCTGGAGCATCTCAGTGTTATTCCAACACACCGCACCACTCCAGATCCCCTTCAGTTTATACCATCAGTTTATATCATTTGACCATCACATCAAATGTGACAATTTCCAACCCTATAGAAGCTGCGTTCTTCAAACCAATGCTCTTCTTGGGTAGAAAATACACAGTCACTACACTTTATAGTATATTTTGTGAAGCGCTTTGAGACAATTTGAAGTTGCGATCAGGCGCTACATCAAGCGCAAGAATCGTTATTATTAATAAAGAAAATCGCATTTACCGAGAAAACCTTTTTGTTTAAATACTTTATTTTGAAAATGCGTTAAGAACATGATTTCGAACATCGAAAAGCACAACACAAATATACACGGCAAGTCTCTACGAATGAATTATACACAAATGTATTATATACAGCTTTTTTTTTGTCTGCTTTCTCCTAATAACTTAATCACGCTCGCTACAGCAAAAAAAATTCCCATTTGTCACAAAAGGGTTTTCGTACATAAAAATCTCACACCCGTTTCTTGCTAAAAACGGTTAAGGCACTTCTCGGTGCAAATGACAGTGCAGAGGGTTGGTTCACTGGGCAATGGAACATGGATAGAAACTCAATCTGTGTTGATACATCAATACGGGGGGGTGGGCAGCTTTTGGATTAGTGGAATGTAGTGACAATTGATCCGAACATGAATATGCGTTAGGGTTAGGATTCCAGTGGTACAAGGTGCCACTATTTTGGATTGAGTGACCAGATTTTTTTTTGGAGGGATTATTACCCCCGGAAAGCGATCCAATTGCCTAAATCTTTTACAGATTGGGGGCAGGGGTCGAAGGGGCCAGCTCACACACTCAGACTAGATTCCTTGTTTTTTTTTTATTGTTGTTGCTGATATTAAAAGTTCTGGAAAGCAGGCCAGCTGCAGACTCACTCGTATACTTTGGCAACTGCGAATGGAACGGTCACATAAATCATTCTCCTGTCCATCAATATCAACTCCATCCACACCACTGGCCGTGTCAACTGCTCGATTTTCTCTGTTGCTGATTTTTCAAATGATCTGGATATTCTGGGGACGGGGGACGGAAGGAGAGAAACAACGCCACAGAGAATCACTACAGTTTTCTGCTCACTAGTTTTAATAAAATCTAATAATAATCCTGGCATTTGATATAGCGCCTGATCACGTCTTCGAGACGTCTCAAAACGCTTCACAGAATACTGTAAAGCGAATTGACTATATATTTTCTGGGCGAAACGTGGCAACCAACTGCACACAGCAGTGTCCCACAAACAGTCATGGATTGAGTGACCAAATTATTATTTATTCATTTATTTTGAAGGGATTATTACCCCTGGAAAAGTGATCTGCCAATCGTCCAGCAACCTGGTTCCTACTTACTACTAGGTAAACAGAGGCGTGCGGAGTAAGGAAACTTGCCCAACATTTCGCCCTCCCGGGAATCGAACCCGAGTCCTCTCTCTTGTGAGGCGTGTTCTCTAACCACTCAGCTACATGCTCTAGCCACTGAGTACAGGACACTAAGCTTTCTTCAGCTAAACCACTTGTGATTTCTTTGTGAAATTGAAGGATATGAGGTTTAATTATTAAGCAATCGCTGAATAAATATCCCTTTACCTGGAGAATGTCTAGAATTTCCTTACCTCAGTATGACTTCATCTAGATTTGATCCTTTAGTAGTCAGACAGCTCAGAGTCCCTGAAAACAACACAGAACAATTCAGTCTCATTACAGGTTTAAAATGCTCTTTGGGAGTCTTAAAATTGTACATCTGCAACAATCACACAGTTTCTGCAGCGTCCTCTATAAATATTCCAAATCAATCATCTTGGGTTCCTTTCTTCCGACCCATTCATTGCCTGACAGATATCTTTGCTGACTAGGACAAGGACGTCAGTCAGTAGCAAAGCGAGTACCTGGGTGAACCAGTCACGTGTCAAGACTTTAAGCTACGGTCACAGAAGAAGGAAACACACCACCAAAGCACAAGGTTAGGAGCCGTTCAGCCTGGGACACAGACAAGCAGCAATATAAGGGAGCTGATGGCAGGAGCCATGCAGTGAGGCTGGCGTCACCACGGTTAGTTCTCACTTAATCAGCTAACCTCAGACGTCCCACCATCGTCTTGAGTTCAAAGACTATTGTTCAGATGGTGAACCTGAAATATGTAACAAGCTGATTTCAGTCCAACAACGGTCTCGCTATTTAACAAGAGTTGTCAAAAGAAATCCAACTACCAAACAATAGTACTAAATGTTTTTGTGATTTCAGCCATGTTCCAACATTCAAGGTCATGGTATACTTTAGGTCTTGGTCAAGCATGAAAGCCACAGCGCATTATCCACAGAGGGTTATTAGGACATGAGGAACTATTAGCAGCAATTCAAGCAGAGGCCATAACATTTAAAAGGAATTGGGATAAAAGATAACTTGAATTTATATAGCATCCTTTATGTAACTTAACATCTCAGAATCCTATCATCATTTATTATAATAATGCTTATATTTGATACAGCACTTTTCACGTTGAGAGGAAATCTCGCGTTTCACAGGATATACAACAATAATAACTTGCATTTATATAGCGCCCAACACATGGGGTAGCGGCTGAGTACTGAGCAAAGGCGAAGATACACACCACACTGGGAGAAAGGGCAGGTGACCGTGGGTATGATTGATGAGGAAAGTCCTCAGGTGGGATGTGAAAGTGTAGTATAAAGTGTAGTGACTGTCCATTTTGTAGGCTCAGCAGTGTCCCACAAACAGGCATGAATCGAATAAGCTTTTTAAAACTAGGTGTACATTTTTTTTAATGTCTTTCCCCTCCCTTGATCCCCCTTATATTGTTCTTCATCAAAATGAAGGAGATTTCCCCCGATGTCCTGGTCAACAATCCCCCATATAAAATATAAAGTTTGTGGGACACTGCTGTGCACGAAACTCACTGTTGCATTCACTTACAAAATGCAGTCACTGCACTTAACAGTAAATCCTGCAAAATGTTTTGAAACAACCCCTCAACGTGAAAGTTGCTCCTCAACGTGAAAGTGTTATTGCATTATTATTGTATTAATAATAATCCTTGCATTTGATATAGCGCTTTTCACATCTTCTCGACGTCTCAAAGCGCTTCACAGGATACACTGTAAAGTGAATTGACTGTATATTTTGTGGGCGAAACGCGGCAGCCAATTGCGCACAGCAGCGTCCCACAAACAGTCATGGATTGAAGTGACCAAATTATTATTGTTTTTTTTTCTTGAGGGATTATTATTAGGCGTGTGGAGTAAGGAAACTTGCCCACGGTTTCACCCTGCCGGGAATCGAACCCAGGTCTCTCGTTTGCAAGGCGAGCGCTCTCACCACTGAGCTACAGGACTCCACGTATTATTAATTGATTGATTGCTTTAAGGGTTATGAAAGGATGGAAGAAGGAAAGGCCATTTGACTTATCAAAGCTGCTCATCCAGCCACAAAGCTACCTGATCATTTTCACGCAGAACTTCTAAAAGGCAGTAAAGAAGTGCGCGCAGCCCGCACAACATAATGTAACCCTGCAGCAACGTCAGTGGAATATTCCAGGCACTTTCTTGTACAGAAACAGCAGTATTGTCTCCGTTAGTACTATCTTACCAGCTAACATCTTCTCAACTTCAATAACAGTCACAGGCAGGCGAGGCTGTGGACAAGTCTCATTTACCAACATTAAGACAGCCATGGACAGCCTCTCCTTGCTATTCAAATTGGATTCAAATTGATCTCAACACAGAATGTGCCTACACTAGTTTTGCGAAACAACAGTCCCCGCCAAGGTCTAGATATTTTCTTATCCCAGAATATTTGTTGGAATTACGCAGAAGAAATGTCAAACTTAAAAGCAGATTAATTTTCAATAAGTAAAACCCTGGATCAGGCTTTATTATAAAGTAAGCTACACTTTGCTGCTTCCAATAGTAGGGACAGTCAAGGAGGAAACCATTTGCCTGAAGTTAGCACCACTTCAAGGAGAAAAAAAATGTCGTCACTCAATCCACAACTGTTTGTGGGACGCTACTGTGCACAATTGGCTGCCGCGTTTCGCCCACAAAATACACAGTCAATTCACTTTACAGTATATTCTGTGAAGCGCTTTGAGTCGTCTCAACGATGTGATAAGGCGCTATGTTAAATGCAAGGATTATTATTATAGACTGAAGTATAAAGTAGCAATTTTTTGGTTCTGTCTTTATAATATGACTGATTATATGACTGCAAACAGGCAATGGAAAAACCTACGTAAGTGTAATGAAACAATTTAGTGATCGGTATAGAAGACTCCAATTCGAATGCATGAACCTGTTTCACCTTTCACCATTTCTTCCCAAGTAGGGGATGTGAAAGGAAGGCAGAAAAATGACTGAGGAGTTAGAATGGAAAATTGAAGAAGAGTCTTTGGGCGATTAAATTCTTTTTGGTTTTTAAAGTACTTGTTTTGGGGTTTTAAGGTATTTACTGATCAAAACAAATGCAAAACAAACCGATCAATTCACTTACCCGTCATTCCACTGATCGTTGGCTGCTTCTTCAGCCACCAGGTTTTCATACTCAGTTGCAGCGAATCTCTCCCAGTCAGACAGCTCTGGGCCATCACTTTCTACGTCCTGCTGCACAGAAGAGGCAAAGCTTACACACAGCAACAACAGAAGCAAATTACATTTACACAGCGCCTTTGATGTCTGGAGGACGTCTCAAAGCGCTGGATAGTCAGGAATTTGGACCCGAGCTGTGGTTTAAGTATTAAGAGGGTTGGAGAGCAGGGAGGATTTTGACTGTATCCTCTGGGAGATGGCGAGCCAGTGGAGCTGGGTGAAGATGAGGGTGGTAGGGTCACAGATGGGGGTGGTAGGGTCCTGGTGCAGGAGAGACCAGCTGCAGAATTCTGGATGATCTGCAGTTTGTGGTGGGAAGAGTTGGGAAGGTCGACAAGCAGGGATTTAGCGTAGTCGAGCCTGAATGTGTTGAGTGTGTGGATGAGGGTCTCGGTGGTCTGAAGGGAGAGGCAGATTCCAAGTGTGGATTGGATCTTTTAAGACGCTGCATTTAGTTATGGCTGCACAAAACAATATTATTAGGTTGGTGAACTTTGCCCTACATTGCTTACATTTAACCTGTTAAACAAACCGTGGGAATCATTCAGTAATATTCCTCCAATCTCTGTCCTAATTTAGTAAGAGAGGGCATTAGTCCTTGCTGTGTTATGGGTGTATTGAGAACATAAGTCCCTTGAGTTCATGAAATCCTCAAAAGTGGTTGGACGACTGGTAGCATCTGATCAGTCATCAAAATAGGACTTGCACAAATAGATCTGGGAGATCTAGGCCCTGAGAGTAGCTCCAGTCAGCATTAGACCAGCTCCCATTCCATAAGCATCTGGGTAATCGGTTTCCCTAGTTAAGAGTTTGTCCCAGGATGGACAAGTTTCAAGATGGCTCTGAAATATGTGGTGTAACAGCCTTACGTCCATTGGGTTTATGCTGTGCAGATAAGCCAGGTGTAATGTGGGTGAAGGATTTTGCTGTAGCCCTCTTGAAGCACGCATTATGTTGATGTGCCAATAGATAGAAAATCTATCTGTCCTCTGTCTTGTTCCCACACAAGACACTTCTTTCGACATTTCTGTCCGTTCCCCTTTAAATCACAACCATTGCCCTCTATACCTATCAGTGTAATCAATCGGTTATCTACATCAGTGGATCACAGGGAACTAAATCATTTGGTGATCGAGACTCAAATAGAATATCTACTGCATTGAAGTGAAAACAATTTACATGTCCACTGCTTACACTTCAGTCGGTCAATTATAAGAAATCAATTAGAATTAGAAGCAGCAATTTAAAAAAAAATGTTTTTGGGGTCAGTCGTGTGTCTGACATTTGCTGAAAACCACCACCGGTGCTTAAGGGTATCCAACCCAAACTGAGCATTCCCTGAATCCCACCTACACATGGAAATCCCAGAGATAGTTTGTTGGAATGGAATGCGCTCTCCCTCTCTCTCTCTCCCTGGAGGGACACATCCTGATTACCCAATTCTGGAAAGTATTAGGCTCAGGTTGGCAAGAGCCAAGGCTTGGGGAGCCCAGAGTGTGCGTTGGGGTAACTGCTGGAGTCTAACCAGTTCAAATCACAGCTCAAAATCTGGATGAGTGTGGAATGTTTATACTCCACACAAGCCTCCACCTATCCTCATTTCCTCTCCCTATCTCCTTCCTCTCTTGTGCATGCATCTAGTTTCCTCTTAAATCCATTCACTTGCTCTACTTCAACCACAGCTTCTGGTAGTGAGTTCCATATGCTCACCACTCTCTGGGTTCCTCCTAAACTCTCAGATCTGCTAGTGACTGTTATATTTATACATTTATAATGATACATATACAGTGGGGGGAGCAGGTGTAGAATTTCAAGTTCTTTTGGATTAGGTAACTTCTTAAAAAGAATGTGGACTCCAATCGTGGAATCCTGTAGCTCAGTGGTAAGAGCACTCGCCTCACAAGCGAGAGGACCCGGGTTCGATTCCCAGCAGAGCGAAACCTTAGTCAAGTTGCCTTACTCCACACACCTCTGTTTACCCAGCAGTAAATAGGAAACCCGTTGTTAGTCAATTGGCGGATCACTTTTCTGGGGCTAATAACCCTTCAATAAAATAAATAAGATAAAAATATAATAATTCGGCCACTTAATCCACGACTGTTTGCGGGACACTGCTGTGTGCAATTGGCTGACATGTTTCGCCCACAAAATAGTCAATTCACTTTTCAGTATATTCTATGAAGCGCTCTGAGACGTCTTGAAGACATGATAAGGCATTATATCAAATGCGAGGATTAGTAATATTATTATTTGCCACTTCAGTTGAAACCCACTGTGGTGGTTTAACTAGGAAACAATTACCCGTTGGATAGAAAACGGATCCTTCTGCTCGTGCTCCAGATATTTGTCGATATTAAAAAGCGTATCGAAAAATACGTTCGCCATCTTACACTTCTTCAGGTCGTGCAGGGTGATTTTTCCTGTGTAAAAGATTTGCTTCAGTGAACGATTTGAGAGGAACAAAGTTATCATTCAGTGGCAGAGCGTGCAAAAGAATTTACAAAAACACACATGGATTTCATTTTGCCCTGCCTATGAAAACACTTAGCCTGTGCCACATGGGACAGCTGTAAGAGATGAGCGAAGACATTTATCAAAACAAAATGAATTGGCGGATGTGGGAAGGTAAGAGAAGGAGCCAAGATCCAGCACAAAACTAGTGCTGTAAATATAGAAACAGACGCACCACATTTAACTTGCTTCACATGAAGGAAAACAGTTACTCCATTCAAATTAACAACTTGCATTTATAGAGCGCCCTTCACGCCGGACGGCATCTCGGAGCGCTTAACAGTGGCGAAGCCCAGAGGGGGATGGTGACCATAGGCACAGTTGAAGAGGAAGGTCTTATTTGGGATACATTATATGAGTAACCTGAGACATGACATATGGTAAGTGTGATATGGCTTGGAAGAACCAGGCAACTTGTGATATAAGGCTCCCGAAGCTTTCACTGTGTTGCAGACTAATCCATACAGAATGAATTGCTATTAATTGCTCCAGTATTGTAGTATTCGACTACCATATTTCTAAAGTTACTCAAGCGCTACTAACAAATCGCAGCAAAAACAGAGATAGAGTATATCCTCTCACAAGCTGCCTCCGTCAGTATTAGGCTTGTGTATACTTTTGCAATGTTGGAAAGGTTTCTGAAAGTGACTTAGGAAGACGAATCATTTTAGAAATGATTGAAAATGTTATAAATCATTAAAAAAATAATACTTTAATATGAAAATAATAGAAAGTGAGATAAAAAGAATGATAAATCTCTACTTCCACCGGTCCATTTTTAGCAGGCAGGAGCGACCAAGTGGTGAAGGAAACCTATTAGAAAAGTGTTTGGTTAAACTTTCAGCACAAGAGGCAACAATTCAACTCATTGGGTCTTTGTTATTGCTGCTTCTGAATTAACCTTATAAACGTCCCAGCGTTTTCCTCAAATCTCTTAATATTTTTATTCAGCCACTGAGCCTCAACTCTCTGCCTCGCCCCATCATCACCTGTCTTCAGATCACCTATGGTCACCTTCCCCTTTCTCCATGCTCGACCTTTAATCGCTCTGAGATGCTACCCCATGTGAAGGGCACGATATAAATACAAGCTTCTGCTGTTGTTTATATTGCAGGTGTATATATTGCACTGATCCAGCCCCAAAAAGCACGTGTGGTAATGAACGCCACATCCCCAAACCCACAGGTTGCAAAATTTCTTCCGGACTCTCCCAATGGGTATAATCAATTCACTTTACAGTATATCCTATGAAGCGCTTTGAGATGTCGACGACGTGATAAGGCGCTGTATCAAATGCAAGGGTTATTATTAATTAAATTCTTAAATAAATTCTTAATAATCCTGAGTCTATGCTCCCTCATAACCATTTTCCCCAACAACGAGAAGTCTCTCACATTTAATTTGTTGCGTCCCTGAAAGGCCACTCCATATAAAATGATCCTTTGTGTTAATGTGCAACTGCAACTTCAATTTAGGAGTTTCTTTGTCAAGCCGGGCGTCTGACACATAAACACCCATCATCATGCAAGCCAACCGGGAGTATGTCATTTTCTGTTCGTCTGTATGTAATGTACATTCACTTCATGGCTGTTTGTGGGACTTTGCTGTGCACAAATTGGCTTCAGCATTCGCCTACAAAGAGACAGTCACTACACTTCACAGTAAAATCTTTTGATGCGCTTTGAGACATGTTGATGAGGCGCTACGCAATAATCCTTCCTTGTATTTGGTATAGCACCTTTCACATCCGGAGGACGTCTCAAAGCGTTTCACAGGATTTACTATGAGGTGGAGTGACTGTGTTTGTAGGTGAACGCAGCAGCTCAACTGCACACAAGAACGTCCCACAAGCAGCCATGAAACAAATGACCAATTTTATTCCTATTTTATATCAAATTCAATGATGATTATTAATATTGCTACGACATGAGCATCCCAAGACAGTAGAGCATTCATCATCTTCATTTTGTTTTAACTGCAAAACGAGATCAAAGATATTAATGACTGCTTAACCATGAACGAAGGGTATAAAAGAAGGCTTACCTTCACATACTGGCTTGACAAGATCAAGCAATTGGCAAAGGCAGTCCTCAAAAGGCAATGGCTCAATGGACATGCACTCTAGTTTTTTGCACTGGTCCTCATAGAAATAGTTCAGTTCATACATGGACAGCACCCCATCTCCATCGAGATCCATGCAACGGAACCAGTATTCAATACTTTTGAGAAGGGAGAGAATACAGGTAATGGTCACCACAAATTATCTAAATTTACTCGAAAAGTTTGCACAACACAAAACAGAAGCAAACTGAAGCAGTTGTCGGTATATAATCAATTTTACTATTCAAAATTTGTGTGCAAATTGGTTGCTGAGATCAGCTCGAAAAATACACAATCACTATACTAAATCATGTAAAACACCCTGAGGCGTCTTTTGATGTAATAAGGTGCTCTATCAAAGGCAAGGATTATTAAATGCAGGCAGATGTAACGGTATAGAAGACGTGATAAGCGCTATATCAAATACAAGGATTATTATTATTATTTTGTTATAATAATCATATAAAGTTACATTATTCCCTTAAAGACTCAAAAATATCACTATTCTCCCATTCAAAATGATGCAAAGCGAAATAAGATGATCAACTCCAATCCTGTGCGGATACAGGATTTTACCTTGTTTGTGTCGTTTTATCTTCTTCTGAAATCAAGAACCACACAAAGTCGGCATAACCGATTTTTCTCTCTTTGTGAGGTTTCTTGTCCCTGTAAATTAAAGAACAATCTGAAGGTCCTGGGAGTTAAACTTGTATAAACCTTATTTTCTACTACTGAGAATTTTAATAGCAGATCTCTTTCCAGGGGTAATAATCCCTCAAAAAAAATTGGTCACTCAATGCATGACTGTTTGTGGGACACTACTGTGTGCAAATCGCATTTTGCTCACAAAGTACAGTCAATTCATTTTACAATATATTCTGTAAAATGCTTTTGAGACATCTCAATGACATGATACATTAGATTACATTGGAATATACAGCACAGAAAAAGGCCATTTGGCCCAACTGGTCTATGCGGTGTTTATGTTCCACGTGAGTCTCCTCCTGCCCTTCCTCAACTAAGCCTTCAAGCATAACCTTCTATTTTTTTCTCCCTCATGCACCTATCTCGCTTCCCCTTAAATATATCAATGCTATTTGCCTCAACAACTCCTTGTGGTGGCAGCTTCCACATTCCCACTACTCTCTGTGTGAAGACATTTCTTCTAACTTCCCTATTTGATCTATTTGTGACTATTTTATATTGATGGCCCCCGGTTTTGGTCTCCCCCACACGTGGAAACATCTTCCTTATGTCAACCCTATCAAAACCTTTCAGCATTTTAAAGACCTCTATCAGGTCACCCCTTACCTTCCTCTTTTCAAGAGAAAAGAGTCCAAGCATGTTCAGCCTTTCCTGATAGGTATAACTTCTCAGGACATTGTGCAGTACTGTGTGCAGTTCTGGTCACCGCAATATAAAAAGGATATTGCAGTGATTGAGAGGATACAGAGGAGAGCAAACAGAATGATTGGGGGGGGTGGAGAGGCTGGACTATGAGGAGCGATTAGGTAGACTGGGCAGGTTCACACTGGAGAAGAGAAAGTTATCGGGGGATATGATTAGGGTCTTTAAAATTCTAAACGGAATAGTTAATGTAGACTATGAAAAGCTGTTTTATCTGGTATTGAGGACATGGCCTGCGATTGAAGTGGGGGAAATTCAGAACAAATCCGCAGAAACACTACTTCAGTGAGCAAGTAGTAAATGTATGGAACAGGCTCCCGAGGGAGATGGTGGAAGCAGAAAGTGTTGATTATTTCAAGAACAAATGAGATAGATGTGTTAGGAAATAATATCTTGGGATACAGTATGTAGTTTGGGACATGACACGTGCAAGCAACTGCCAGGATGGTGGAAGGCGAACTGGATAGACCTTGCAGCACAGAAGCCATTCTGTACACCTCATCTGTGCTCGTCTCCTTTACCCCCTCGTGACTGAGTCCGCTGGAGCAGTCTACATTAAATCGTATTAGGACTTGGAGCTCATAGTCTAGGCTGACACTACAATGCAGTGCTGGAGGGCGCTGCATTGACAGAGGTGCTGTTCTTCAGTTGAGGCATGCAACCAAAATCTCATCTGCCTGATCAGGTGGATGTAAAATAAGCAGCAACTTGCACTTACATAGTGGTGTAGAGTAGCACTTAACAGTGGCGGAACCAAGCAGGGGGAAGGTGACCTTAAGCGCAGTCGAAAAGCATAAACATTTCCAAGCACCATTTGGAAAGAGAAAATAATTTCTCCTGGCATCTTGACCAACAATCCCCAGAGGAAAAAAAATGATCGTTCACTTGATAGCTATAATGGGACATAAAGCTGTGTATAAATCGGCTGCTGTATTCACCTACTAATACACAGACACTGCACTTCGCAAAGACTCTGTGAAGTGATATGGTGTTTCAATGTGATGAGGTGCTATATTTAGGATCGTTATAAACTTTAAAAAGTTTTACCTTGTAACTGCTCCAGAGAAGATCCTCTCAACCATTCTATTGGATATAGCTGAAGGCAAAAGAGAAACAATTTATATTAAATAATATTCATTAAAATCTAGTTCTGGCCACTGAGGCTTCAGATCAGACATCAATCAAGAATACAAATCATAGGAATAAAGGAAAACAGGAAAAGGGGGAGAGCAATCAACTCATCGAGCTTGTTCTACCAATTTATTTGATGATGGCAGATGTATTAATCCCAATATTTCAGCCTGTCACCATACTTGCTGTGTGCAATTGGCTGCCATATTTCTCCCATAAAATATACAATCAAGTCACTTTACAGTATGTTCTGAAAAGGGCTTTGAGACGTCTAGAAGACATGAAAAGCGCTACATTAAATGCAAGGATTATTATTTGTTGTCCCTTTCAGTTCCTTCCTGGTTAAGTTCTGCCCGTCTGTGCAGTATATATTGGCAGGACATTGCATTTTATGCACCGAACTTCATTTGCCAGCAATCCATCCCTGCTGTGTTCTTTTGGTAATAATGTGATCTCCATATCCACCTTCTCCCTAGCTTCCCTCAAAGTACTAACAAGCGAGTACGGGAATGTAGTATAGAAACCATCACGAGTGAAATATAACAATAACAACATGTATTTATATAGCTCCCTTCACGCTGGACTATTTCTTGGGAGTGCTCCACAAAATACAGAGCACTCTGGCACACACATATAAGTGTGTGGGCCAGGAACAGAACAGAAATCAGCAGAATACATCATTTTACAACATCTGGTGAGTTAAACATTAAATTGGTGCTTAAGAGATTTCCTAGTTCAGTGAAGGTCAATCATATTGAACAAATATGCGTGTACACTTGAAGAGCCTTTTTAAGTTGAGATTTTGGAGCCATGTGCAAAGCAGCAAATTACATTTGTAAAGCACCTTTCACGTGGGGAAGACGTCCCAAGCCGCTGGACAGTCAGGAATTTGGCTGACTGTTTAACAAGACAAGCAAGTCTGATTGCCAATTTGAAATATATTGCAGAGAGCAAATTAATTTGAAATAGACAAGTGTCAACAAGGGTGAGTCACTGACACTCCAGTCCTCAACATGCTGTCACTATGTACCTCAGAGATGATTAAACGCCCTCCAGCGGGTTCAGTGACTGTTTTGAGACCGAGCAGGTTATAAACACTAGGAGCGCCAGCAATTCAAATCAGATCACTTTGGTCTTAACTGGAATCGTTGAATGTTACCAAAATAGGCTACTTGGCTCATCAAGTCTATGCTGGAGCTTTGATCCATGTTTGTGGTGTGCTGTAGCATAGTGGTTAGAGCATTCGTCTCACAAACAAGATGATCCAGGTTCGATTCCCAGCCAGGGTGAAACCTTAGGCAAATTGCCTTACTCCACACGCCCTCGCTTATCTAGCAGTAAGTAGGAATCGGATTGTTAGTCAATTGGCGGATCGCTTTCTGGGGGTAATGATCCTTCCAAAAAAAGTAATTCAATCCACAACTGTCTGTGGGACATTGCTGTGTGCAATTAGTTGCTGCGTCTCGCCCATAAAATATACAGCCAATCCTCTTTACAATATATTCTGTGAAGCACTTTGAGATTTCTCAACAACGTGATAAGGCGCTGTATCAACTGCAAGGATTATTATATTTGATTATCCGCTTAAGCTTATCGCACTCTCCCCTACACGTCACACTCCGTGGTGAATTGCCTTTGAAAAGGAGTTATGAACTCTGCTTTAACAACAGCTTGGGACAGAGAATTGCACATTCCAATCACCCTCTATGTGAAGTCACTTTACTTACAGAGGTAGCGTTGCATTTGACTTAAAATCAGCGCTGATCTTTTGAAAAGACAGTACAATATTGATTTTAGTTCATGTTCCAAAGAGTCAAAGAAGCTTTTTATAAAAAGGACTAGCTGCTCGCTATTCATTTATGCGTGGCATGTCATTCCAACCATCGACTCCCAATGATCTGCCACTTCATGCTACTTGTCTTACCGTCATCATTGTGTCTTGCCAGGTCTTTCTGATCAATGTAGAGGTCATGGTCGGTATCGAGTTCCCAGAATTTACAATAGATCACATAAAAGTGCTCATAGGAGAAGAATTCTGTGAGTTGATTGATGTCTTCTTCCTCTTCCAGCAAAGCTATGTTCTGCAGGAAAGCAATATCTACCTTACGTTAGCATTCAGAAAAATTATTCAAGCTAAATAAAACTCCACATTTAGTCAGGTCCATTGCTCAACTTGGAAAGATATTCATACCCAGACTTACAGAATCATCAATAAACATTAGTAATAAGTCTACTATTTGTTTCTTTGCTGTTGGTTTATGAAGGGATATATCTCTTCAGTACATCTCTTCATAAAGCGAATGCTTTGAAGAAATCTATCCTGCAGCCCAGTTATATCTTTACCATAATATAAATTTGCCTGTAACGGGGTTGCAAATGTGAACCCCATTCATTGCTCATGCTTGCAGCCGACCTGTTCACTTCCTGCATGCTAGCCGACTCTTGAGTCATTAGGTCATCGTCGACCTCACGTCCTGCTGCTTTGTGCCTCAAACCAGACCTGACATTGGTGGTGACCTGAAAGTCAACCATTTTTTCCTTTGAGCACCAAACTGACCAGCTGTGTGGGCTCACAGTCAAATCCACTAATTGTGTGGAGGTCTGGTAGCCTACTACAGCAAGGATATTGTATCAACGGAGAAAACACAGCGTAGATTTATTAGCATGTTCCTTGGGATACAGCTATCAAGAACGTGTTTCTCTCTGGAGAAGAGACCTCACAGAGGTGTTCAAAATTATAAAACGATAAAGCGGACATTTGAAAAGTGTTGTGAGTCCAAAACAAGGGGGCATCATTATTACTGTCACTAGTAGATCTAAAAGGGAGTTTAGGAACGCAGACAGTGGCGAGAATATATGTAAATCACTGCTGGGAGCTGTGGTTGAAGCAGAAACCATCAATGTAATTTAAGAGGAAATTTGATGCATGCGAGAGGGAGAAGGAAATGAGAGGCTCATGTAGATGGTAAACACTGACATGGATTAGTTGGGTCAGATGGCCTGGCCTGTTTCCTTGCTGTATAAGTCCATGTAATTCTATTCTATGCAGGTTGGGATTTTATGGATCACAAATGCTGAATGATACCAAGGCTTCACTGTACTGTGCACACATCAGCTGTAACTGTCAGACTGATCTCTGCGGTTTACAATCCAATTGTGGTTTGATATTGAACATCTTCAATGATTCTAAACACAATTCCAGCGACTTGATAAAATCCTACCTTTCAACTGATATAGAGGAAACCGCAGCTAGAACAGTGATCTATACTGAACCAATAACAAATTACATTTACACAGCGCCTTTCATGTCTGGAGGACGTCCCAAGGTGCTAGACAATCAGGAATTTGGAGGGTTGGGATCAGGAGGGGTGGACCAGGTGAGTTCGCAATCCTTCAGGGTATTTTTTGATGACAGACCAGCCACAGTCATCAGTAGGACTTGGAGGGCCAGATCCTTCGACTCAGCCACTGTTAATCCCGCAAGCCAAAGTCCTAATGGTAAGGTGGCCCGAGCTGGATAAGCAGCAGGAAGTTTGACAGTTAGCACTTTCGCTGGCATATTGACATGAAAGGTGCTAAATAAATTTAAATTGTATTGCATTTCCAATTGTTTTTTAAATAAGTTAAAAAATACAGAAATGTGGCAACAAATCTGCCCAGAATGAAAGATAAAAGGGTCAAACGAGCCGGCAGTGAGAAGCTCCCGAGCTCACAGGAGAGTTTACCTGAAGAAGGCAGCTTCTCTTAATTTCTGTACTAGTTATTCGTCCTGTCCATGATCTGTTCACTGTGTAAAATATCCTCTGGATGACCTGCACAATGACATAAGAGGTTCAGCCAATATACTGCACGTTTTCAAAGAACATTAACCCTGAAGGGGACTGCGCACGTGTGTGAGGTTAAAAAGCACGACTTTCCCCCAATCTATATTTGGTTGCAGGTCGATGGACTGCCCCTGAGATGTGACCCTCCCCTTCCTGTGACCATCCACCGTCTGCGATCCAGCCAGTTAAAAAAAATAATTTGAAAACGTTGCACCCGCACTCCCAAATGACTGCAGAGATTTGGAAGGAGAAAAAAACATGAATCAGGGTGACGTGCCACAATGCACTTTACAGCAATTACTGTCAAGGCTAAGCAGCAATGGGTTTGGTAGTCCTAGCTGGACAAGCAGCGGGAAAGCTTGCCAGACAGTACCGTCGATGCAGTAACTGCTGGTTAGACTCCAGCAGTTACCCCAACGCACGCTCTGGCCCCAAGCCTTGGCTCTTGCCAACCTGTGCCTCATACTCTCCGGAATTAGGTAACCCGGATGCATCCCTCCAGGGACAGAGAGAGAGAGAGAGCGCATTCCATTCCAATAATCTCTCTCTGGGATTTTCATGTGTAGGTGTAAAACAAAAGATTATATCTAAGCCTTTGGTGTTCGGAAATGTTTAAACATTTCATCTTTCAGTTTTTTATAGCAATTTTCAAGCTCACATATAATAATAATAATAATAATCCTTGCATTTGATATAGCGCTTTTCACGTCGGGAGGACGTCCCAAAGCGCTTCACAGAACACACTGTAAAGTGAACTGACTATATTTGTGGGCGAACGCGGCAGCCAATTGCGCACAGCAATGTCCCACAAACAGTCGTAGATTGAAAATGACCAATTTATCATTGTTTTTGGTTTTGGAGGATTATTATTAGGCTCTGTGTGGGGTAAGGAAACTTGCCCGAGGTTTCGCCCTCTGCCTGGAATTGAACTCAGGTCTCTCACTTGCAAAGCGAGTGCTCTAACCACTGAGCTACAGGACTCCACAAGAGAAGGAGCTCAATAACTGATTGACGTAGAAACATAACTTGTACCTCATTGGAAAGGTCTTGTAACTGGGAGTGACAGGGGCATATTTGTTTCGGGTATCTCTTATCGTTCATGACTTACGGCCTAAAATGTATTTCAGTTTTGTGATTTCTGCTGCAGTTACACCTGATGGCCAAAGTGCGCTGAGGTATTCAGCACCACAGAGCACGCATAACCAAGGGCCAGGAACAAAATAATGAACACGACGGAGCTAAGCCGCGGAAACAACAACAACATGACCTGTTTAAAGCGCCGAGTCCTCCCACTGAGTCCTCGCTCAGGAGTCCTCACAGATGCGTGAGATAAAGATGAAATGTGTCTGTGTATCTGTCTGTGGATCAATCTTCATTCCATATTGGATCATTTGGTTGCAAGTGAAGCTGCAACGGGTACAGCTAGTGTATATATATATATAATATAATAAAGAGGGTTTCAGGGCTTTCACTTTCTTGTAATGTGGCGTCCTGTAGCTCAGTGGTTAGAGCACTCGCCTTGCAAGCGAGACACCTGGGTTCAATTCCAGGCAGGGCGAAGCCTTGGGCAAGTTTCCTTACTCCTAATAATAATCCCTCCAAAACAAAATAATAATAAATTGGTCATTTTCAATCCACGGCTGTTTGTGGGACACTGCTCTGCGCAATTGGCTGCTGTGTTTTGCCCACAAATATACAGTTAATTCACTTTACAACACATTCTGTGAAGCTCTTTGAGGCGTCTAGAAGATGTGAAAAGCGCTATATCAAATGCAAGGATTATTATTATTATTATTATGATGATTCAGACTCACTTGCACACACAAAGGGGAGAGAGGTGCCCTCATGCATGTGCATTGCCTCTCTCCTCTCACAAACACGTCACCAGACACGCCTGCACACATGGAGGGTAGAGAGAAGCGTGGAGAGAGTGAGTAACACATGTGGAGTTGGTGTTAGGACAGGTAACTGTTCACAATTTTTTCTGGTGTTTATTGGATTAAAACTAATAAATTTTTTTTTATCGGGAGTGTTAAAACCAAAAATCCGAAATCCTAATTAAATCAAAGGATTGAAACCTGGCCAAGTCTTATTTCTCCCATTAAATTGTGTCTGAGAAAGGCTAAATGATTCACTGACTCAACAACTCGCACCAAGCAAGTGATGCATTCAACATATACAGTAATATATAGTAAGTTCCGTACACACACACACACAGAAATGCAACCTTTATAACAGAAACAATTGCATCTGCTCCTAACAGCCCTTTGCTGGGTCCTTAAATTAGAACCTCTTACACCTTTTTTTTAAATTGAAATGCTTTTGTTCTGAACACTGAGATCACTATCTTTCAATACACGTGGTGTGCAACACAAGATGTCTGTAAAATTCATTAAACACTCAAGAAGTGAGCCAAACAAGTGAGATGAGATGAACTCCATGTGGGAAAAGGATCATAATAAATGTATATAATTTTGTTTTATGTGCGAGGCCATTAGATGCCAATTCGTGACTGGCCAATTCGGACCGGCACTGCCTACCACCACCTCCGCAACATTGCCAGACTCCGCCACTGCCTCACCCCTCAGGCTGCCGAAACCCTCACCCACGCATTCGTCACTTCAAGGCTCAACTACGGGACCTCCCTCCCCATTGGCCTTCCCAACTCTTCCCTTCACAAGTTGCAGATCATCCAAAACTCTGCAGCTCGTGTATTCTCACGTACCAGACTCCATGACCCCATCACTCCCACCCTCGCCCGACTCCACTGACTCCCCATCCCCCAGAGGATCGAGTTCAAGATCCTCGTCCTCACCTTTAAGGCCATCCACGGTCTTGTCCCCTCCTACCTCTCTGACCTGCTGACTCCCTACCAACCTGCCCGCTCCCTCCGTTCAACGGGCTCCGGCTGCTCCATGTCTCCTGCCCGACCCGCCCTACCATCAGTGGCCGGGCTTTCAGCCTCTCTGCCCCCACACTCTGGAACTCCATCCCACGGGCCCCTCACCTCACTTCCTCCCTCGCCTCCTTCAAGGCCGGTCTGAAGACTCTATTCTTTGATCGTGCTTTTGGTCTCCCTCCCACCTCTCTGCGTTCCCTCACCCCTGCACCACCCCTCCCCCACGCTCGGGCCCCGACACCTGACTGTTCAGCGCTTTGGGACGTCCTCCCGATGTGAACGGCGCTCTATAAATGTAATTTTGTTGTTGTTGTTGTTAAATTTCAAGAGAAAAAGAGATTTACTCTTATGCCTCTCGCTCTGTCTTCCCTACACCCTCCCCTTGACAAGTGATGTCAATCGATGATTTCCACAGTAAGGTTTTCACTTAAAATCATTTCCAGTTCTTCCTTCCGTTATGCAACAGTTTAATACACAACTGCAATTCCTGTACATCTTTCACTCATCCTCTCGGTTTTGTTTTTCTTGCATTTCCGTAGGATTCAGAACGGTGGTTAGAAACAAAAGATAAGGTCCCACACAAAAAAAAGTAAAGACATTGGTTACAGGGTTAGGTTTGTCAGGCGGGGTTGTAGAAGCTAGGTCACTGAGGTTAGGAGTGAAGAGGAAGTGACAATACCTTTGTTAAAATCGGTTCTAGACTTACTGTGGTGACATATCTAGTGTGAAATTCTGCTGCTTCACGAAGAAACGTTAACCCAGGGTGTGTGTTCACCACATCCTGCAAAAGGAAACAAACAGCTGTTCAAGATACGAAGGCCCATTGCTATAGAATCATGGAATCTTACCGCACAGAAGGAGGCCATTCGGCCCATTGTGCCTGTGCAAGCTCTTTGAAAGAGTTACCAACTAGTCCCATCTAGTTACCAACTAGTCCTTCTCTAACCGCATAGCCCTGCAAATTTTTCCTTTTTAAGTATCTATCTAATTCCCTTTCGAAAGCTCCTATCGAATCTGCTTCCACCACTGTTCACACAGTGCATTCCAAACCGTAACAACCTTTTCCGTTTCACATTTTAAAACAGCGCTCGTCCAGCGTATGCCCGTGATGGATCAAACCGTACATTTCTTCCTAACCTTCCATAGAAATGGATTTGGATAAATTGCACTGCATGTTACCATGCTTCTACACCACAAGTAGATTCAACAAAATGCAAGACTTCTAGCTTTTGGGATTGTGCCAAACAGCTCTGGAAATCTAATTTTCTGGTTGATTAATATTAACCGTAATTTCAATCAGAAAATCAAACTCATACAATTACCAGCTCACACAGGAGCCCATTAGTTTAGTCCCAGTTTGTCATTGAAAATGTGCATGATTAGGTTCTCTTTAATGAATTAGAGACTCACCTGCTGGAAGGCGAGAGTCTAGTCTTCAGTAATGCAAACACACATTGACATACGTTTCAACCCCAATATAAATGTTTGCAGGGCTGATAGCAAGGAATGTTGCCTGGTTGAGTGGCTAAATCCCTTATGATCCTCCTTATACAGGGGAACATAGCTACGTCATTACACATAGCCCTTTGTGGAGGTTCCAGATATTTTGAAAAGACAAATGCAACCTATTAATATTTTACAAGGGCGAGTGCTATCTATGGTAAATATATATATTTTTGAAATCTCCAGTAATTTACCCAATTCCTGTGAAAAGAAGAGATGGTGAAAGTGCCTCATTCTCTAAAAAGGGACTATTCTAAGTGAGGGGTAAATGTGCACTTGATGTCAGTGTATTGCTTTCATGTCTGAACTCTGACAGCACGTTTAGTTTGCCGCTGCAGTCACAAGACAAGCGGTGTCCTGGAAAGTGCCTCCACATTTACTTTGCTGCATTCACTACCAGCTCTTGGCCTGATTATCCTTGCACACATGCTCATGGGGGCAAAGTCATCATGAAACACAGACAACCAATGGCTGGAATGGGGCTACACGGAAGGATGGTGGAGTCCAGGACAGCAGATGATAATAATATAATAATAATCCTTGCATTTGATACAGATCCTTATCACGTCATTGAGACATCTCAAAGCACTTCACAGAATACAGTGAAGTGAATTGACCGCATATTTTGTAGGCAAAACGTTGAAAAACTAAAAAAAACACTCACATTACTGTAATGGGGAGATAGTAGTGTGGGTATACTACAAGGAGGAGATAAATGGATCTTTTTTTTTTACTCGTGGTGTGCAGCAGAAGGCTAATAGCCACGCCTGACCCACTTACACAAGGCAAAACACATTAGATACTATCATCTTTTACAAATCAATTTTCTTCTCAACTCGCAATGCCTTTTTGTGGTTTGTTAAATAGTGCAGAGGAAATCAGAGTTACTGTTGGAATAAACAATAAACCCATGCCCACTCTCTCAGAACCATAAACCCTACCCTTCCCATCATGTCCCATAGCATTTTTACTCCCCAAAGATTTAACCACAAATCTTTTTGTGGAAGGCTCTGCTTTTATTGAAATGGCAAGTTATGCAGTTTAGCTGATTAGATTCCAGCAGTCACCCCAATGCACAGCACACTCGAGGGTCCCCAAGCCTTGGCTCTTGTCAGTCTGCGCCTAATACTCTCTGGGTTTAGATAAGCAGGATGCATCACCATTGCACATTCTAAATTATCTTGAAATCTACAAACCAGGTGGCCACGCACATCTCAGGAGCCATCACAGAAATACCAAGATTAAAACATTCCATAAATATGAGACTGACTGAATTAAAAATAAGTCCAGCCACTATGTCTTGGTAGAGACCAACTCAGGAATCCAAACCCTTGAATTAAACAAAAACTCAATACAAACAATGCTAGAGGTTTGTTGAGAGGATTACATTCAGTAATTATCTCGGGGTTCAGCCAACCACGTTGAGTTTTTTGCTTCATCTGAGCCCTATCCCCAATTGAATTGTTGCCTTGTGAGTAAAGTGCCTTGTAAAATGCTACCTGTCCTGGCAGTTTACCACAAGTCAAGAATCCAATTGAGGAAAAGGGTTTTGATGTCGCCACAAAAACAACGGTGGCTGTCTGAACCCTGAGATAACTTGCCTGGCCTGGCTGTTGGGGGCCACTTCTTGATGATGACCTGGACCTTACACATCTTAGCTTTCTGCACATAAAATAACTGAACTCCGGGTCACCAGCCACTACCAATGTCACTTCCGACTGCACTTTGTTTCTGAAGCACTGGATCGGGGAGTGATCTGACTGGCTGCATGTGTGTAATGAAACTATCAACATGTCTCGTTATACCTGCAAGTTGTTCTTACAGTTATTTAGCCTCTCCTCAGGTTTCCACCTATCATCAGTCTACATCTGCAAGCAAGCTTGTGCACTGTTTTTCACAGCTCGCAGGACCTCTGAGCTTTGTATGATCTGTAAATTTGGACATACTACCTTCCAACAACCAGGTTAAGAACACTGATGCATCTGAACATCTATGCATCTCGCAACAGTCTCTCTAAACTCCACTTGTTACAGCCACACCAACTGCAAATCTTTGACATCTTCCCGAGGCGAAAGGCGCTATACAAATGTAATTTGTTGATGTTGGTGACAGGCTTCTACCCTCCAGACAATCCGTACAAAGGGAGATGTTCCAATGGTATCCACAATTAACAGAATAAAAGGAGAAGCAATACAAAAAAAATTGGTCTGTTATGTAGTCAATAAATCATATTTACGCATCACAATGAAACGCAATCCTGGCATTTTTTGGCGTAAGAGTGCTTTTGAATGTACAACGCTAAACTGCACTTTCTGATGTCCTCCCGACATGAAAGGCGCTATAGCAAATGTAAGGATTAGTATTAATAAATTAGAATAAACATGATTTAAAGCAGATAATTCTGGGAAATGGGCTCCTCTGAAACTACATTAATGGAGAACAACAACAAAAAATTACATGAGAGAAATAAATTATATGAGAATGTTCCGTCTCTACCTCACTCCTCAGCCGCTGAAACTCTTGTTCATGCCTTCATCACCTCCAGGCTCGACTATGCAAATGCCCTGTTTGTCAGCCTCCCCAACTCCTCCCTCCACAGCTGCAGATAATCCAGAACTCTGCAGCCCGTGTCCTCTCCCGCACAAAACTCCGTGACCCCATCTCCCTCATTTTCGCCCGACTCCACTGGCTCCCTATCCTTTAGAGGATCCAATTCAAAATCCTGGTCCTCACCCAACCTCTGCATGAGAGCCTTCAGCCACTCTGCCCCCAACCTCTGGAATTCCATCTCTCAATCACTCCGCCTCACCCCCTCCTTAGCTTCCTTCAAGTCCCTCTTCTTCGACCATGCCATCGGCCACCCCCTTTCCCCTCCCCTCCCTTCTCCCACTCCTGACTCCAGCTCGGGTCTGAAGTGCTGTACACTGCCCAGTGCCTCCCGATGTGAAAGGCACTATACAAATGTAATCTTGTTGTTGTTGTTGTTTGGGAGATGATGAGAATAAAAATGTATTATATTCAGCTCATGTATTTCAGTACTTTGATCTAAATGGTTTCATCCATTGAGATTCCCCAAATACTTGATTAAAGGAATTGTTTTTTGATAAAAGGAACATTTAGTTTAAATAACGGAAATGAAACATGGAGCGATTTGTTACCTGAGCCTTATCAACATATAGGAACATAAGAATTGCTGGATGAAAGAAGACCAAGGTCCAGCCTGTTCGCCTTCCACCACCCTGGCAGTTGCATGCAAGTCATGTCCCAAACTATATACTGTATCCTGAGATATTATTTCCTAAAAGAAATCTATCTCATTTTGCTTTGGAAAGAATTGACACTTTCTGCTTCCACCATCTCCCTGGGGAGCCTGTTCCAAACATTTAATACTCGCTCACTGAAATAGTGTTTCTGCAGATTTGTTTTGAATTTACCGCTCCTTCAATCGCAGGCCGTGTCCTCTGCTTCATCACTTTCCAGAATTAATCTGGGGAATGAGGATCACCTGGTTCGATGTAGGTTTAGCCCTAGAATTCCTACGTCCATAAATTGTTTCATCTGCCAAAGAATAGAGACTAAACTCTAAATCTTACTAACCAACTCTTACACTCAAAAAACACACCTGGAGCAAGGCACCAGCTCAACATTGATTTACACAGTAGGTGTGATATTGATAAGAACAATAACCTTAGCCTACGTCACTCATTAATACACGTTAACAGTTTAAATAGTAAAAAATGACTGCAAACAAGCAGCTAAATTCAGCTCATCTTGCCAGCAATCTTCGGTGTGGATTAGTTTTACTGGCACAAATAAAAAAATACTTTTTTCCCTTTAAAAGATAGTGTAATTTGTGCAGCACTTACATAATGTTTTGTAAGGATGACTCATTGCCACTTCATCGCCTTCCAAAAAAACCCTGCTTTCTCACTAATTACAGGTTGATTTTACTAGAAAGACAACAATTTACAGCTCGGTTGGTCTTTGAAAGGTATATATTTAGTCTCACTCCCTGATCTTTTGCCTCAATAGATTTTCATTTTACATAGAATTGTTGAATTCTCTTTTAAACGCCATTATATAAAATCTGCTCCAACCTCCAATGTAGGGTATTTCTATTTCCTGATAAATCTCTGGCCTAAAACAAATGGCCCTGAACCTCTCCCCTTATTTTGGAGTCCCGTAGTGTAGTGATTAGAGCACTCGCTTCGCAAGCGAGAGGACCCAGGTTAGATTCCCGGGTGGGGTGAAACCTCAGGCAAGTTTCCTTATCCCACAAGTCTGTTTACTGAGCCGTAAATAAGAACCTGGTTGTTCGTCGATTAGTGGATCACTTTCCGGGGGTAATAATCCCTTCAAAATAAAAAAATAATTTGGTCACTCAATCCCACAATTGTTTGTGGGACACTGCTGTGTGTAATTGGCTGCCGTGTTTAATCCACAAAATGCACTTTTTCACCTTATCCACATTTTGTGAAGCGCTTTGAGACGTCTCAATGACGTGATAAGGTGCTATATCAAATGCAAGGATTATTATATTATTATTTTTGAATATTGAGGGTAGTTACCAAGCTGTTAACCAATTTATTCCCTTCCCTCTTTTGTACAGTACAACTTTAAACACTTTTATTCCTTTGGTATTCAAGCTGCTAAACTAAAAGTTTGCTTTAAGAATTGCCAAGGAAAATTTGACCTTGAAAGTGGCATTGATATTACAGACGATATGTTTACTTATAAACCGTTTCCATGCATTTTAAATGGGGAACCATTCAAAAGCCTAAGCACCTCGAATCAAGTAATATATAGAACACATAAATCAATGCTTTAAGGCATACAAGAAGGAATTGATTTCACTCTAAACACATTTTTATTTCATTTATCAAAACAGTCAGATCAAATGCCACTGTCGGATGATGCAAAAAGAAAGATCAAACGCCACAAGTGATTACTTCTATGTAATAACTCCACCTGGTTCACCATCAATTGGTCACATTGATGGAAACGTCTGGATCTAAATAATTTGGAAATGCAATGGCGAAAAGAAAAAGTAAAAAAGGATTTACAAGAGGGCAAATGAATTCATCTCGCAAAGCAGTCTGTATGTTATTAGTGTTGGCTCAGGGTCACCAACTTATAAGGAAACAAAACAAGTTGAAGGTAAAGGAAATAATTGCGAATGCTAGAAATCTGATATAGCAGTTACTTTCGGATGTAGAGCCCATATCAGAAATAACAATAATCCTTGCATTTGATATAGCTAGCTCCTGATCACGTCTTCAAAACGTTTCAAAAGCTCTTTACATAATATACTATACTATGAAATGAATTGAAACAGTCATGGATTAAGTGACCAAATTATTATTTAAAAAAAAAATTTTTTTTTGAAAGGATTATTCTCCCTGGAAAAGCGATCCGCCAATCGACGAACAACCGGGTTGTTACTCACTGCGAGGTAAACAGAGGCGTGTGGAGTAAGGAAAATTGTCTAATGTTCCCCTTGCCCTGGAATTGAACCCAAGTCCTCTCGCTTGCGAGTGCTCTAACCACTACGCTACAGGTCTCCAAAAATTAACCAGAGCAAACACTTCAGCATTGCTTCTGTGTATTTAAGCTCACTTGACAATATAGCCTAGTATCCCATTGGTGTGTTGCTGCCTTGAACTGGGGAACAACAAGTCAGCTGAGGTCCTCAGGTCTGTGAACGGTGCACAAAACAGGCAACAATTAGCACAAAGTACAGAATTTGTAGTAGTTATTGTTCAGTCCTGAGATGAGATCGAGACTGGTTACCACACTGATTTTCTGGAGAATGGTTTCTTCTCTCAAGCCTTGAGCACTAATTACTACATGACATACCACACATTTTATCTAACCGTACCAATAATAAGATTTCACCCACAAAATATATTATAAGATTAATTCTTGCATTTGATATAATGCCTTATCATGTTTTGGAGACGTCTCAAACGCTTCACAGAATATTATTGTACAGTGAATTGACTACATTTTGTGGGCGAAATAGTCAATTCACTTTGCAATTTATGCTGTGAAGGGCTTAGAGACATATCCAAGACGTGATAAGGCGCTATATGAAACGCAAGGATTATTACTATTATTACTCGAATATCTTAAGTGAACATGGGTGAATAGGTCAAAAATCTGAAATAATTAAGAAAGATTGTGGAAAATCTATAGGGGAAAACTGGGGAAGATAACTTTGAAATTAAAAGAGATGTTGAAAGTAAAAAAAGGACCCAACAGCATAGTTAAATACGCTAAGTATACAAAATTCTTCAGTAACTTGCTGTAAAAGCAGTTAGCAAGGACATTACACAGAGAGCCACAAGAGAGAGGCAATTAACTTATCAAATAATTTTTTTAAAAAACGTATTCACTTCACATCTAATTTCTGTACTTTACCCAATATCCTAGAGCACTTTACACTGCTGTGCGGAACTGGCTGCCGCATTTCGTCCACGAAATACATAGTCAATCCACTTTAAAGTATATTCTGTGAAGCGTTTTGAGACGTACATCAAATGCAAGGATTATTTTTAATTTTATGAAGTCAGTGTAGCACAATTATTTACTTTGTTTGCCCTGAGACGGCACACTAGATAGGCTAGGGTGTTAAGAACAACAATAAATTACACGTTGGGAGGATGTCCCAAGGCGCTGGACAGTCAGGGATTTGGACCCGAGCAGGGTGTTGGGATCAGGAGGGGTGGGGGGCAGGGAAGTAGCAATAGGAAGGTGGCTGAACAAAATAAAGATGAAGGGCAATGGCTTTCATCAAGAAAGAATCCATCCATTCCATAGCGTTTTTGCAAATGTTTTCAGTACAATAGCCAACATAAAACCAAGCAAATAATCAATGATACCTGTATCAATGGAATGAAATCCTCTTGCTCTACATAACTGCACCCAGGCTTCGCCAGAAGACGTAGGAATTTAGATGCATCGTCGTGGCAATTCTGCAAGATTCTGCAATTTATATAGACATTATCAAACATTTTGTAACTTAATAAATTGTGTGTTTTTTACTGTGCGGTTGCACGATGATTAGTTTCAGAATTAAATGAAAAAGGAAGTGGAAAGGCAGTGAACACAACACAAATTGAGACCCAAACTTCTGGTTTCCTAACTCACAACTGGAAAACACTGGGAACATTTTTACGGCAACAACAACTTGCATTTTATGTGGTGCCCTTCACATGGTGTTAGCATCTGAGTGCTTAGCAGTGATGGAGCTAGACATTGAATTGTGGAGAGAGGGGGGAAGTGACTGTAGGCACCGTCAAAGAGAAAGGTCTTCAGATACGATCTGAAGACGGGCAAAGAGGAGGCAAAATGGAAGGATTGAGGCAGGACATTCCAGATCCTAGTGGCTGAAAATATGGCTATCAATGGAGGAGTGGAGAGGACAAGAGACGTGCAGATGTCCGGAGCCGACTGAGCAAAGGGGCAAGTAGAGAAGTGGGGTATGAGCAAGTGTGACCTTGTGCAATGAGGGGGTAATAAAAAAAAAGTGGTCACTCAATCCACGTCTGTTTGTGGGACGCTGCTGTGCACAAGTGGCAGCCCCGTGTTTCGCCCACAAGATAAACAGTCAATTGACTTTATAGTACATTCTGTGAAGCACTTTAAGATGTGATAAGGTGCTGTATCAAATGCAAGGATTATTATGAACAAATCATTTTTGGGGAATCAGATAAATGCAGTGCCCCCATTATACGAGCTAATTTTAAAAGTGAACTTAAGAACCAATTTTAGAAGCAAAACATAAGAGAAAAAGAGGTGGGGGTGTGGGAGAGAGAGAAAAAAGTTAGCATTTCCCACAAATCTAAGTAGAAAAGGGTTTTTTCAATAGTTTTTCCTTGTGTAGTTTTTTTTTCCTGATGACTTAACTTTACTGGATGTCTAAATAAAGCAGAAAATGAGATAAGAGTATTATTCAGACTCTTTTCGACAGCTGTCTATAATTTGTACCATCACATACTCTCTAACATAGTTAACCTCAAGAGAGATGAATATTCACACACCTAGCTTTGTAAAAACACAAACCTCAACAGAAATCTCTTCTAGACTCCCTCACCTCCCAGGCAATCAAACAAGAAATGCCGGGCTATCAATCTAACATTACAACCTACAATAATGAAAGCTGACTAGATGCGTTCCACAGAGAAGTCCCATGGCAACACCCAAAATGGAGTCTATAATGTTTGATGGAGAATCTGATCAACTGTCCATACTTATGAATGTATTTTTAATCCAGGGATCCCTAATGGTTAACTGGGTAAATGCACAACCTGGCGTGTGGTACTTCACCATGCAGACCAGCAAGGTCAAACCTTTGATCAATAGAATGTGCTGATTTAACCAATTTGAGCTGGGGCAGAGAAACTGAGCTGTGTGTGCGTGTGTGTGTGTGTGTGTGTTGGGGTGGGGGGTTGAGAAAGAGTAGGGAAGAAAAAGGTGAGGAAAAAAAGCTTGGTGATTGGTGCGTGTGTAAGGACTATTACTGCATTAGTTTTTTTTAATTGATTTTCGAAACACTGACTGTCCAGCACCTTGGGACATCGTCGCGACGGGAAAGGCTGGTTAAACACAAGCAGTATCCCAAAGCAGTAACCCAACGCACACTCTGGGGGCCCCAAGTCTTAGCTGTTGCAAACCTGCACCTAATACTCTCTGGAATGAGGTAAGCAGGGTGCATCCCTCCAGGGAGAGAGTGCACTCCGTTCTAGACACAGGGAAATTTCCATTGTAGGTGTCATACATATGTGGAACTCTCAATATGATATGGACACTCTTAAGCACGGTGATGTTTTTGGCATCTTGTAAGACCACCCGGCTGACCAAAAAAAACATGCATATGTAGGAATGGCTCTGAAGATGCCATGGATGGTATAAAATCTGCCAATGCTCACTAGTTTGACTCACTTTGGTACTGGAAGGCTGCTGGCACATCTAGTGCCAAAGTATGAACTTTGAGAAGAAACAAGAGGAAAGTGAACAAGTCTTAAAAAACAGACCTATCCCAAGTTCCTCTTGCTCTTGAATGGAGAATTAGGAAGCACTATGCCATGAATAGACATTGCCTCTAATTTTTCCACTCATTATGTGGAAGTGACATTTAAGCTGGACATCTCCCAGATTGGACACATGAGAGCCATCAGCATGTTAAATTAGGTTAGCCAATTATATTTTTAGACATGGGGTGGGAAACGATGAAACCATCCAGTCTGCAAGTCAGCTGTCACAGCCAAGACATCAGCACGTATAAAGTGTTCAAGTAGCAATTATCTAGTCAGGAATAGATACAAGAAGTGTGGCATCACAGGGACTACTGACTTATATGGCCCAATAGGCCCAACTGTGCATAGGTCAACTGGCAGGGTGCAATGGAGGTCCGTCAATAGACTGGGACAAGTGTATTTGTGCACATAAGAAGTTGCTACATGAAAGAAAACCAAGGTCCATCTAGTTTACCTTCCACCAAACTATATAATGTATTCCCAGATATTGATTTCTATCAAAAATCTATCTAATTTGTTCTTGAAACAAGCAACACTTTCTGCTTCCACTATCTCGCTCTAGGGAGCCTATTCCATAAATTATTTGGTTAAGGCCCAAAAGCGCTCTGGGACTCTACCCTGTGTGAGGGACTCTATATAAATGCAAGTAGTTATTGTAAGAAAGCAGGTTGTTGATGTTGAATGCCTGAGTGTATTTCTAACTGTTTAAAGAGAAGCAATTATCAAACCAGACCACCATGCTAACAGCAAATCTGCTGCATTTGTTTCTGTAGCTGGGTAGGTAAGTTTTTATTTGAACAAAAAACACGATCGAAGCCTTCAGAATGGTTTTATAGGAAAAAGTAGGTCAAGCGTGCAAGCCTGGAAGTTTAAACTACTGCTCAAACAATGGGAAGTTTTTACACAAGTTGTGGCTTCTTAATACAGGCTGAATAATAATCCTTGCATTTTTTTTGATACAGCGCCTTATCACGTCTTCAAGGCGTCTCAAAGTTTGAACTCCTTATAACTCTCTCTGCACTACGGACCTGCTCTACACCTGCTTTAACCCTGACATGCTGTTTGAAGCCATAATCTTTCGATCCAGAAAGTGCTACTAATTGAGCCGGGCTGACACTTATAACAAACAGTGGTACTTGACAGCTCTGCTGATCACTAGTTAGGATTCTTCCTTCACTTCAAAGCACTGGAAAGGTTGATGTGTAAAACTTTATCCTGATGGGCAAATAAGACAACAATTTGCATTTATGTACCGCCTTTCACATCAGGAGATTATCCAAAAGCACTTCACACAGCTGACTGGGAGCTGGAGGTTTGGGGTGAGAGGGGGCGGAAGAGGAATGTTCTTACTGGATTTAGGTGAATGCTAAGCCACAGAATTTTCCACATAAGATTAAAAAAACATTGGTTTCATGAAAATTTGTGATCTCATAAATTCCAGTCTCCCCATACTGGCAACACAGTACAGCAACAGCGTAATGACTTGTATCGCAGGTTTTAACAAACTTTAACACAACTATGAAGCTGTTAATTCTCAGACTAAAGGTCCATTCATATATTTTTCTAAGAACAGTACCAAGTCCTGATTATTTTTTATTAAATAATTAAATGACAGAACAAACATAGATTAATGATATTGTGAATGCAATTTGTGCATATTCAATGACAGGTTTGTGTCAGAGAAAGGAGGTAAATGAAGCCATTGTAAAATGAGCAACTTTGGACCTGTGAAAATGGCCAAATGCTTACTTTCTCCACATTGCGATGAATTTATGAACAGACACACATCCTGTTCTTTCTCCACCAGCAGCACAGAACAAGGGGACTTTCCAATAAAAAGGACAGTCACACACCTGAGAATAAAGATAAACAGAAATCATAAACAATGTGTTAACAATTTATAATAATAATAATCCTTGCATTTGATATAGTGTCTTATCACATCTTTTAGACTCTCAAAGTGCTTCACAGAATGGACTGTAAAGTGAATTGACTGTATATTTGTGGGCGAAACCCGGTAGTCAATTGCGCACAGCAGTGTCCCACAAACAACCACGGATTGATGTGACCGTTATTGTTTTTTTTTCTTGAGGGATTATTATTAGGCGTGTGGAGTAAGGAAACTTGCCCAAAGTTTCACCCTGCCGGGAATCGAACCCAGGTCTCTCGCTTGCGAGGCGAGTGCTCTAACCACTGAGCTACAGGATTCCACGTGGACTCTGTCTCTGCAAACCCTTGGCTTGTCGGCCACCCCAACTCCTCCCTCCATAGGCTGCAGATCATCCAGAACTTGTCCTCTCCCGCACTAGGCTCCGTGACCCTATCACCCCCATCCTCGCCCGACTCCACTGGCTTCCCATCACACAGAGGATACAGTTCAAGATCCTGGTCCTCACCTTCAAAGCCCTCCACAGTCTTGCTCCTCCCTATCTCACTGATCTCCTAACCCCCTACCACCCTGCTCGCTCCCTTCGCTCAGCGGGATTTATATATTTGTATCGAACATTATTCATTGAAATGTGCAAGATCATTTTTTTTGATATTTCAGCAAGTAACCACTTTTATTGGACTAATTATTGTGACAATGTTGTACATTATAAATGATCAGAATAGGTGAATTGTTACCAATGATGTACATGTTGTCATAATTTTATAAATCATCCACATTCTTCCCAACTCTTTAATATAAGCGCTCTGGGATGCTACCCCGCGTGAAGGGTGCTATATAAATACAAGTTTATATAGCAAGTAGAATCAGTGGTTAGAGCACTTGCCTCGCAAGCGAGAGATCTGGGTTTGATTCCCAGCAGCGTGAAACCGCGTTTTGCCCACAAATATACAGCCAATTCACTTTACAGTATATTCTGTGAAGCGCTTTGAGACGTCGCGAAGACGTGATAAGGCGCTATATGAAATGCAAGGATTATTATCACTATTTATTATAAATTGTTGTTGTTAACGGACATGTATAACAAGTTTCTAGTCCGTTTCGCTCACAAAATAGTCACTCCACTTTACAATATATTCTGTGAAGCATTTTGAGAGTTTCAACAACCTGATAAGGTGCTATAGCAAATGCAACGATTATTATTATTTATATAGCACCCTTCATGCAGGATAGCATCTCGGTGGACAGCGAAGGATCAGAGGGCACAAAATATGAAATCCAATAGATGTTCTAGATATGCATGACACATTCATCAGGGATAAAGCCAAGGAACTCTTCATTGTGACTGGAAAGGCACTAACAAGTCCTTAGAAAAACCCTTTGAAGAGTTTCCTCGATAGCTTCAGTTGTTTTATTCAGCCGGTGGTAGTTTTGATATGATTCCAATCTAAATTCTCAGACACAACTTGTTGATGGTAAACTCTCAAGAAAAGATATTAGGATGGTCAACTTCATTTAAATCGCTTGTGGTGAAGAAGTACTTGTTTTCAAACACATATGATTCTGACCACAATGAGTACATCCAGTTGCTGAAGTTCAGGCCACCAGCCATCACAGAGTCGATCCAGTTTATTGCAGACTGTTTTAACACTGACCTTTTGTTATTAGTTGTGTACAGTCCAGTATCCATAAACCTCTGGATTCAGGTGACCTTCCTTTTGCTCGTCAAAGCTAATAGTAAACTTTGGGACAGTTATTGATGTTTAGTAGATTGGTTTTCCAGCAGGTCAATTGGCTGCCATGTTTCACCCACAAAATACACAGTCAATTCACTTTACAGTATATTGGGTGAAGTGCTTTGAGACGTCTCAACGACGTAAAAAGGCGCTATATCAAATGCAACGAATATTATTACATCACTGAATTTCGATCATATTTCTAATTGAGGCTCACATTTTTCACATTCTTTCATGAAAAACCCCCCATAAATTCGCAACTTTCTACTGATGCTCAGGTGGGAATGCTTGTGACAAGAGTACACTTAGCTGTCTATTCATAAATTCAACACCTAGGTTGAAAATCTGACCTTGAAACCCACAAGGTTTATCTCCATTAAATAGCGTGACTTGGGAGTAACCTATTGACTACTTATCATGTCGTTGAGACATCTCAAAGCACTTCACTGAATATACTGCAAAGTGAATTGATGTATTCTTGAGCAAAATGTGACAGGCAATTGCGCGCAGCAGTGTCCCACTAACAGTCGTAGATTGAGTGACTAAATTATTACTATATTTTTTGGAGGGATTATTACCCCGGAAAGCTATCCGCCAATCGACTAACAATCGGGTTCCTACTTACTGCTAGGTAAACAGAGGTATGTGGAGTAAGGAAATTTGGCTAGTTTCCTCCTGCCGGAATCAAACCCCAGCCCTCTCGTTTCATTATTGATTCCAATTCCCGATATAAAACAGTGCAATGCGGTAAAAAAACAAGATGACGGTATGCAGAGCCAACAAAGCCAGGAACAGAAAACCTGATATTATTATACTTTTGAGGTTGTAATTTGTTTAAACTATAATCCCTCGGGGGATAGTGTAATGTAAGGATACTAAGAACTGCTGAATGATGTAACTTGTATGATGTGGAAAAAGGATTTGCTGTACTTGACCAAGGACACGGACCAAATTGAAGACTAATGCCAAATTTTGAAAAGATTTGTTCACCTCATTTGAGAAATGAAATCGCAGTATTATGTATTAAGAGGGATGAAATAAACAAAATAACCTCCCTATCAATGAGTGGTAAGCTCTAGCAATGCTACTGGTGGAAATGCATTGCCTGACCCTGTATGCAAAGCACCAGTAACATGATTTTCAAAGCGAGAAGTTAAATCCTGTTAATTCACTTCTCGTTCCAACTCTTCAGTAAGTACTTTTAGCCCATTAGTACTCATCCTTCAGGTTACAAGTCACATGCAAATCTTAGAAAATACAATGGGGCTGAAATTCCTCCCATCTGCTCCCCGATTCTTCTAACAACCTTGAGCCTATACCATCCTCGAGCCTATACCATCCTCAACACTCCTCCCCTAACTAAAGGAAATCGTTTTTTCATATATCCTTCTAAATCCCCGTGTCTCACTGAGAAGAACCCCAACTTAGCCAGCCTGACTTTTCATCCGGAAAGATGTTTCATTCACACACTGTTGTAAACTCTGTTTATCTTCACAGCTGCATTTGTCTTCATCTTTAATTCAGATATGAAATGAAATACAGTATTTATTTATACATATATATATATATAGCCATCAGACTTTTGTGCTGGCATTATTTTCTCCCATGAAAGGGAGTATATCAGACAAACTGAATGCAAGTAACAGGCCATCCAATTTCCTCTCTCTTTCATGCAATAAGTGGGAGGAAATATGTATGTGTATGGAGACAGCACGAGAGCTGACTTGTATTAAATCCAATAGTTTAAAAACGTTTACACATTTTTGTAGCATTGAATTTACACAAAGGTTACCTGCCATTTTGTCTTGGACAAGTGATACAACAGAACAGATAGAGCCTGACTAAACATCAATTAGCGGAGTCCTGTAGTGGTTAGAGCACTTTTTTCGCAAGAACGAGGACCTGGGTTTGATTCCGGCAGGGTGAAACCCTGGGCAAGTTTCCTTACTCCACACGCCTCTGTTTACCTGGCAGTAAGTAGGAACCTTGTTCGGTGTCAAACTCTGCCACTGTCAAGCTCTCTGGGACGCTATCCTGAGTGAAGGGCACTATATAAAACAAGTTGTTGTTGTTATGTTTTGTGAAGTGCTTTGAGACATCTCAAAGATGTGATAAGGCACTATATCAAACACAAGGATTATTACTATTATTATAATTAATGTACAAAGAAAATATCAAGTTTACAACATTCAAAATATTTAACATTTTTGAATGTAACAAAAGAAATGGCTGATGCCAGATAGTAATTCAGACTGAAAAGAAATAGCTTGAAGTGAAGATTTATGGTTTAATAAAAGCAAACTTGCCTTCGCAACTTTTCCCATGTCTTCCAGAGTTGCCTTTTCATTCTCAAATTCGGTGAAAGCATTTTCTATCCTGGCAATGACAGCGTCTATGTTATAGTTTAGTTTTGGACAACCTCGGGGGAAATAAAACCTTGGAATAGTTTCCCTCAGTGCTGGTGGTAAGAGATCTTCTTTCTTTGCTTGAACCTACAAGAGATAAACATTTAAGTATTTAGGTTTAGAATGGAAGAAACCTGAGACTCAAGAAAAAAAAGCACAAGAAAAGGCATATCAACACTTTGCTGAATATGGATCATTTTGCCATTAGCTCCATCCTACTCATTTAATCAACTGAGATAAGTGCCGTCTATGTTCAATGTAGTTAATACTCTTTGGGGGAAAAGTACTGTCTCCAGTCTTGCAAATTAAAGTAATGGTCTTGAAGATAAGTATATAAAGTTTTCTTCATTGAGCTTCCCACTGGCTAAGTTGGTTAAGGAATTGTATAGTTTGGAACAGAGGCATATAGGTGAGTAAGATCCCTAGGTTCAATTCTTTGTGTACTTATGAATTATAATACTAATGCTTGCAATTATCACGTCTCAAAGTGCATCACAGAATATACTGTAAAGTGAATTGACTGTATTTTGTGGGTGAAATGTGGCAGCGAATCGTGCACAGCAAACAGTTGCGCATTCAGTGACCAAATTTTTTTAAAAAATTCTTTTAAAAGGGATTATTACCACCGGAAAAGCGATCCACCAATCAACTAACAACCTGATTCCTACTTACTGCTGGGTAAACAGGCGTGTGGAGTAACAACAACAACGTGCACTTATACAGCGCCCTCCACGCAGGGTAGCGTCTCAGAGCGCTGAGATGCCACCCTGAGTGTGTATGAGGAAACTTTGCCTAACTTTTCGCCCTGCCTGAGAATCAAAGCTAGGTCCTCTTGCTTGCGAGGTGAACGCTCTGATCAACACACTACAGGACGCCACAATTAGTTGCTAACAATCAGAAGGCAACAGGATATACAATATCTTTCAGAGAGATGGGAAGTTTTTTTTCAAAGAGGAAGCCAGGGTTCAAGTTAACAAGTCATCATACCAGTTTATACTGAAAGGTATCTGAATTACATTGGCATTGATGGCTATTCCTGATGTACTTTGTGTTTATGGCAGTGTTAATTCTAAGCTCTATTTTGGGAATGTTACGGCAGTTATCAGAGGTCAGATTTTGGGCTTCATTCTCTGTTTACGGCTATGAACATACTTTGGTTACCGTCTTTTCACCTCCCACAACCTTCTGACTCAGAGGTGTGAGTGCTATCAAGTGAACTAGTCTGACACCTGGCAGTTAGAAAGGCAGCCTGTCAGAACAGATATCAACCACTGGATCACCCTCAATGCCCTTCATTAAATGTCAACAAAATCTTACTTTCTCACCTCCAGTGTCAATTGTATCCTATCACCCTATTGTAATCCTATCAACCCCACCTCATCAGGCTCCATCGCCCAGGAGTTCAAAATCCTCGTCCTTGCCTTCAAGGCGCTCTCCATGGCTTTGCTCTTTCCTATCTCTGTAACCTGCTAACCCTATATCAACCTGTCCACTCCTTCCGCTTATCAGGCTCTGACCTGCTCCATGTCCCCCGCCCGCCCCGCCCGCCCTCAGCAGTTAGGCCTTCAGGATCTCTGCCCCACCCACTGAAACTCCATCCCAAATCCCTTCACCTCGCTCCCTCCCTCACCGCCTTCAAGGCACATCTCAAGACCTTCCTCTTCGACCGCACCTTCAACCATCCTCTTCCCTACCCTCCGGCCCTCCTGATCCCAACCCCTAGCTCGGACCCCAAATCCTGACTGTCCATCGCCTTGGGACAACATCCCAATGTGAAACTCGCTGCGTAAATGTAATTTGTAGTTGTTGTCTTTTGCACCTTTGATCGCTTCCCTCCTTCCCCTATCCATCTCCCTCCTTGCTCAGGCTACTGCCCAGGCTCTGTGAAGTACTTCCGAGACATTTTTCTACATGAAAGACCTTATAAAGTGTACAAGTTGTCTTAGAATTTTCCTTGTATTAAGGCGTAAATTCACTTCACATAAGCGGACACTAACTATAATCTGACGAAGGGTCGTGGACCCAAAACGTTGACTCACTTACCTTTCTCCATAGATGTTGCCTGACTTGTGTTTTTGTTTTCAGATTTCCAGCATCTGTGGTATTTTGTGTTTGTTTCTAACTATAATCTAACTTGAATCTAGAAATCCCGTAATGTTGCCATTCAAGGCTAGAAACTCACCCCCAGATTCCATTTAAACTGTAGTCTTATAATAATAATCCTTGCATTTCATATAGCGCCTTATCACATCTTCAAGACGTCTCAAAGCGCTTCACAGAATGTAAAGTGAGTTGGCTATATATTTTGTGTGCGAAACTTTAGTCATGAAGTATCCCAAGCTGATTTAGGCTTTTCCCAATTAAGCCAAGGTAGGTTTATTTGCAGGCTAAAGTAATTTACAGAATATCAGATGCAGGCAAAAAACATTAGCGCTTTGAGAGATCTTGCAAATAAAATTCCAAAAGCCGATTCAATGTGTAAAATTCTTGACAATGATACAGCTAACTCATGAATCGTTCAGTTACAGTTAAGTGCTATTTATTCTCCTCTATTTCGACATCCGACTCCTGGCCAACTGTTCTGCACATTTCAATCCATGGAACAATTGCACATTTGCAGAAAGATACACTGCAAGGCAGGCGGCCTTAAAGAAATCTCTCACTTTTGTGAATGTGCTAAACATTTTTTGTTTATAATACATTTTACTTATAAAAGTTCATCTCTAAAATCACAAAGCACCATTTTTAAAGCACCTCTCAATGATTCCGAGGCTAAGAATAGCCTTAAAAATACTGATTTTGACTGCATTTCACACTTGCATTAGGAGATGCATAATATAAATAATTTTATATCCTTGCATTTAATATAGCGCCTTATCACGTCTTCCAGACGCCTCAAAGGCGCTTCCAAAAATATGCTGTGAAGTGAATTAAGTGTTAGCTTTGTGAGCAAAAAAAATGCAGTGCCTTAGAAGTGATTTGCACAGTAGGACCTGAATGAGGTTATTCTTTGAAAGTTTTTGGTCAGTTTCTCCTTCCTCCCCATCTTCTGAAGGCACTGATCTTTGCGAGGATAAGATTCGAGCATTTTTTAAAAAAATCACTTTACGATATATTCTGTGTAGAGCTTTAAGACGCCTTAACAATGTGATAAGGTGCGGTATCAAATACAACTTTATTATTATTATTAACTGCAGAAAGCAGCAACGCTAATTCTGATCCAGGTATCACCACATGTGTACAGCCACATACTTTCCAGCATGGGTCATGGTAGGGATAGGGATCGCTGAAAATTTCAGACTCACTGCTTTCCTCTCGTTCACTGACTCCACAACCGACTTCAATCTTAACTGTTCTGCTGCCTCAGCTGAGATCGGCTAATTAGGCCCAAGTCAGCAACCGAACTTGCGAGCTTCAGCTCAGCTGCAAATAAATGAAGCAATATTTCTCTTTGCTCTATAGTTTACAGGATTTTTGCAGCATGGTTTCCCATGGTTTGGTACGAAAAAATGTTACCCTTGAGGTTCTTCACTTTTATTCACACGCCTGGGTTAAACCCAGAGCTCAGGAGCTAAAGTACACAAGCTGCTCGCTCACAGCTGCGAAAAATTCCTCAGCATACTTTATTTTTAAAAAAGTGTCTGGATATCGTAGTTGCAGGAAAATGGAAAGTGTTTTAAAATGGAACGCAAAGTAGACTGGCAAAGGACCATTACAAGACTTGGTTTAATTTACCATTGTTTGTGGGACGCTGCTGTGCGAAGTGGGCTGCTGCGTTTTGCCCACAAAATACACCGTCAATCCACTTTACAGTATATTCTGTGAAGCCTTTTGAGATGTTGCAACAACGTGATAGGGCTCCATATCAAATGCAAGGATTATTATTGTTAGTAGTAGTTTTGTGAAAAGGGTAACTTATAATGGAAATATGACCATTTATGGAACCAAAGAATGTTATAGCACAGAAAAAGTCCATTGTCCCATTTAGTCTATGCCAGCATTTTCCTCCACTTAAGCCACCTAACCTATTCTCTTGTGGTCTCTCTCTTTGTACCCTTTAACATTCCTCTTTTTAGGCTGTCCAATTCCGTTTTAAAAGAACATGGATTCTGCTTCAAGAAAATTCTACGTTCCAACTTCTGTCTGNTTTTTTCTAACCTCTCTTTTAAATTACTTATGTCTTATCTACAAATTGACATGTGAATGAAAACCTTCAGTAATGAATGCTTATCAGCCACAACTGACAGTTAAGTGTCAGTGGAATTTACACAGACTCATCATCACCTAAATGTTAACACCTTAGTGGGATTCATTTTGGGGTCTGTAAAGGGTGTGCAACATACTTTATCTGTGGTGAATGCTCTCCGCAGTAGTGTTGTATTATAGTGTAAGCCACATACATTTTAGCTTCCTGTTTACATACACCTTCAGTTCCCCCGCTAACAAGGCGAACGTTCTCAAGCCACTGAAAAACGTTTTTTTAAAAAAAAGAAAGCTAGGACTGTAATGTAGAACTGTTACTTAGTTGATTCAATTCATTTCTACAAATACTATTTTGGTTGTTTGGGAGGGAAAGGCATGTGAAGAGATAGTCAATAGCCAGGATTATTATTATTTTGTTATCAACTGCAAGGATTATTATAAATCATACCCCACACCCACAAATCCGCATGAGCTTAGTCTTAAAGCCATTTTATAATGGTTTTCTGCATGCGTGTGTCAGACACCCAGCTGACCAAAAAGCAAAAGGGGCCAATACAAAATGGTTTAGATATCAGTATCTTAGCTATAGCAGGGCTTCAAATCTTGAATGCACTTGGGCTTTATAGAGAATTATGATTTGTTGAATGGAAAGAAGAAGCAAGCAAGAAGGGCAAACCAAACTCGTCTGCACTATCTTGCACATTCTTCCTCTTCTGTAAATCCTCTACGCTGAAATAAAAAGTTATACCATCTGCGATTCAAACACATTCCTTTCCATTGACCTTGGCACAGGATGAGATGAGAGAATAATATGTTAAGGTTAATGGAAGGAAAATTGTGCGTCATCAATTCTTTTGCCATACACTGGATTTATATCATTTTAT